TTTTTTTCAAAACATGAAAATATTGATAGACTTTAACAAAGTATCAATATTTTATTTTTCATTTCTAAGCTTATTCATCTTTCATATACTCGACTATCACCAAAATATTACAACCAAATCATTATCATCATTATCATCATCATCCTTCAATCAGTCTATACAATCATTTCCTACTTTTAATCAATATACAATTCAATCTGATGAAAAGTACATCACCTTCTTTACGCACAGTGGCTTTCAAAATCAACTCATTCAAGGTACACTAGAAAAACTTTTTATTGTACCTTTTTTTTTTATTCTAATTATTTTTATAGTGGAAAACGGTTTATTATTAGCTTGGTATCTTAATCGGACTTTAATCTTACCTAAAGCTGTCCTTGGCGAATCATTTGGCTGGAACAGATTCAATAAGCTACAACAACATCACATCCTACGCGAGACAAACCAATGTATCAAAAAGACGAAATGTCCTAAACGATTTGCACTTGTATCCTTTGACCAATTGGTCGATTTGAGTTGGGCTAGACAACACGTCAGAATTATCGATCGAGAACAATCTGATCTTGCTTGGCTTCAACGTCGATTTGGCATTGAAACAAAAGATGGCATTCATTCTGAAGTGGGGGCTTTTGTGAATGGTGACATCCTTTTCTTTAAAGGTAAAAGCAACCCTTATCCCCAAAAGAGAGTTTACGCCACTCATTTATATATCAATAGATCAATCACGATATGATTGGCGATTCTTTGACACATCAGCCAAACATAGGTTTATGGGAAGATATAACGGTAGTTTGGAAATATCAGCATTGAGAGAAAGAAAAGAGAAATTGATCCATTTTACCAGTTTATTCGGGACTGGCAAATTCTCTATTAAAGATCCAAATGCTCAACAATTTTTTAATCAGCTTAGACGGACAATTACCTACAAACACCCAGCAGTTCTAAAGATGGCAGATATTGTGATTGATAGACTAGGTGGTGCTGGTAACTTTGTGGGAGCCCATTTGAGGTACCAGGAATAATCTAATTTACCAAAAAAAGATATTTATTTCAAATATAGAACGGCCGATGGATTATTTGTGGAAGCCATACCAGAAAACATAAACAATATCATTCAAAAGATAAACGTGAGCTCGTCATTCAATGAGCCACCGTCATTATCAACTTGTGTATCACTTGCTAAGCAAAATCAGACGACCCTCGTTTTCTTAGCAACGGACGCTGTCCGACCTAGAGATAATCCGATATTTCACGTTTTATGGCACCATGCACCCTGTACATTTACGCTGAACGATATACTTGGCCCAAAGGATCCATTATGGATTTACATGGACCAATACAAGACAAGGCACTCGGGTGAAAACATGCGAAAGTATTTGATTCCTCTCGTGGACGCATGGGTCGCTGGCAGAGGTCGGTATTTTATTGGATCAAAAGGATCGACCTTTTCAGGATATATTCGTCGACTGCATCAAACGTTCTGGTCGTTGTAGCTGGTTCTACTGACAACAAAATTGTACATACAGTGTAGTATATATATATATGTATTATTATTATTATGATGGTTTTAGATTGATAAAAACTGAGATGTTGCACAAAACATGCATGAGTTTATATTCAAATAAAGCTTCATTGTATGTTTTTTTTTAAAAAAAAAAGAAAAGAGGGAAGAGGGGTATATGATGAATACAGTAATATGCATAGTCCATCTACAATCTGATTAGACTCTATTGGACACATCTTTTCTTGTCTTGTTTAATTGCCCAATTCGGCAAGTGGCTATCTTGCTAAGGGGAGCATGAGGTCGTGCCACGACAGATAGATACCAATACATCAGGTTAGATATGATCACTTGATCATGTAATGATCGCTCAGGATTAGTTAATTTGTTATATGATAGTCGATATATGGCTCGTTCTGTATCCATAGAAAATCGTGTATCCGTACATTTCTTTTCTTTTCTTCTAAACAACTTGCTAAATCCACCCCTCTTTTTCTTTTTTCGCGTGGTAGACAAGGTTGCATGGCTTGTGCTGTATTGTGCATAGAGATCGACAGTCAAACTTAAGTCAATGGCTGAATCTACTTTTTTAAAGTAAAAGATGACCCCTGAGGAAGTTGATTTTTGAATAGGAGAATCTTTTTTTTTAACGTTAGCTTTACATTATATTTATTCTTTAAAACTCAACATATTACCTTTGTTATTCAAATCTTGAGCAGTAAACGAATAGCATAGTTTAGAACTTTTACGTTCAGTAGTTGTTCTCTTTTTGTTGGCAACACTGTATGTTGTCACATTCAATTCAATACATGATTGTCTAGTAAAATAAGTACATTATTGTGGTATATGTGTACGGACATACTGTGGGTATCTGGTTCTTTTATTCTTTTTGTTTTTCAAGGAATGACCAAGACTCATGTTCATGAAGAAAGAAAAAGGGAAAATAAAAAAAAAAGTTTATCAAGCAAACTTAAAGCTGTCAGTTTTGTCTATTTTTATGGCATCCGTAATTCAAAGGGAACTTCCTTTTTTGAAACATGCACAGAGCATCGATTCAAACTCAGTTTTATGATGACGACATTTAATTTTTTTTTCTTTTTTTCTCTCTTCTTTTTTTTTTTTTGAAAAGTTTAAATCAACGATGATGGATATTGATGTTGAAGCCATGCTTGATGCTCCTTACCAGGAGAAGAAGGTAAATGAATCAAAAAGATTACAAAAAGGAAAATCAAAACTTATTTTGTACCTGTGTGTTCTTTTAGGATGAAAGACCAGTTGAAAATGACAGAGACCGGTATGTTGCATTATTCTTTTGATTTTACTCATTACTTAACTTTTATTTAGCCATCGTAGTCCTCTACGCAGTCCTCATCGCCGCGAATCCCGTCATGAATCTCGCCATGAATCTCGTCATGAATCTCGTCATGATTCTCGCCGTCGCTACGACTCACGCTATGAATCACGTCACCGTCATTCTCGGTCACCCTCTCGTCACCGCTCTTCTCACCGCTCGAGTTCGAGAAGACATCGCTACTCTCGCTCGCCCAGCCGAGACCATCGCTACAGACGCTCACCTTCACGTGAATACCGTAGACGTAGAACCATCAGTCCTCCACCCAAACGCAGCCGGACTCCTGAGCGACCAAAACGTGATAGAAGAACCCGATCTCCTTCTCCCCCTGTGCCTGAAGAGGAACGAGATAGAAGAACCGTATTTGTAACCCAACTGGCTGCACGCTTGACCACACGTGAATTTGAAGAATTCTTTGCTCAAGCAGGTCGTGTGCGTGAAGCCAAAATCATTACAGATAGAAACTCTAGAAAATCAAAAGGGTACGTTTCACTAATAATTTGCATACATTGAAACTCATATATGTTTAGCTGTGGATATGTTGAATTTTATGATGAAACATCTGTACAAAATGCACTCAGCTTATCAGGCCAAAAGCTTTTAGGTATTCCAGTCATCGTTCAGTTATCAGAAGCAGAAAAAAATCGCTTGGCTATGGCTGCTCAAAGAAATGCGTAAGTCTTGCTATTGAGGTTGTATCTAGACTAACTTTTTTTTTTCTTTCTATAGAATGGGAGTTACAACTGAACCTTTATATCAAAGATTATACGTTGGCTCACTTCATTTTAGTTTAACAGAGAATGATGTTCGACAAATATTTGAACCTTTCGGTCCACTTGATTTCGTCAATCTTCACAAAGGTAAATCTTGTAATATTAGTGTTTTAGTAAATTAATATGGCTACCATAGATCCTGAAACAGGGCGTTCAAAAGGGTTCGGGTTTATTCAATATAAAAATGCTGCTGATGCTAAACAAGCTTTAGAAAAGATGAATGGCTTTGAGTTAGCTGGTAGAAATGTATGTCTTTCAAAAAAAAAAAGAAAAAAAAGAAATGCCTTAACCATTTTATAAAGTTAAAAGTAGGTCTTGTTACTGAAAAGTCTGGAACCACCATGTCTGCTTTTGGCCTTGATGACGAAGGTATGTGCAATGTCTATAAGGAGTATTGTATATTAACAAATTTAATAGAAACGGAAGGGCTGGCATTGAACTCGCTTTCTCGAGCAGAACTCATGGCCAAACTAGCAGCAAGAGACCCCGACACATCAAGCGTCAAACCTACCAAATCAACGAATACAATGTAAGTAAAGCATTGTTTCACGAATTATTTATTCTAACGCAACCTTGTGTATAGATTGAAGCCCAACATTCCTGCTGCTGCCACACGTTATGTCATGCTAAACAATATGTTTAACCCCAACGAGTAAGTGATGAGTCATATGCTTTACCATGTATTCATCTTTATTTTTTCTGTTACAGAGCAACAGAGCCAAATTGGGTAAGAGATCTTGAAGATGATGTTAAGGAAGAATGTGAAAAATATGGCCAAGTAGAGCATATTAAAGTCAATAGTGATTCCATGGGCGAAATATTCGTAAAGTTTGATAGTTCTAGATCAGCAGAAAAGGCGATTGCAGCATTGAATGGAAGATGGTTTGATGGTAGACAGATCACAGCTGCTTGTATCTCGGATGCTATTTATAATGCGAATGTCTAAGAGAGTCGATAAGAAAAAACACACATACACACATTTATAACTATTTCTCCCAATAGAAGTGACTCTTTGGATATTATTATTATCTTTCATGAAGCAAGAAATACATATTTATATAAATGCACATATACGGAAAAAGTTGTACTTACGATATCAGTACTATAGGGTTTTCATTCGCTAAAATAAAATAAAAAAAAGGTTTCAAAGCAAACAAAAAGCAACTGAATATCTCTCTCTCTTTTTTTTTTCTTGCAGGGAATAATTAAAAGACCTCTTTCATTCTATTGGGATAAAGTAAGTGCATTGGGAGATAATAATAATATATAAATAAACTCTCTATTTTTGACATCTTTCCCTTCTGTAAGAAGGGTAATATCTAAATTTACAAGACAAAAAATGACCTTTTTTGTTATACGAGCATAGAATTAAGGAGTAACCGAAAAGAAGGAGAAGAATACTTGACACTTACCTTGAAAGGAAAGCTTATTCTCTGCATTCGACTAAACTCACAACGATCGTGTCATACACTTACTATTTGGGTACGCGTGAGCAAAAAGAAAAAATTATGCAGCGGTTGACAGTTACAGAAAAGGGCTCGATAAAAATGGTAGGTCTGTGGTTCAAAAGAATAAATAAACTTTGTATGATGAAACAACCATCAAACTTGCCTGGTCTTTATTCCTCCGCCTCGTGCGCGCACGACCAAAAGTAACGTAATGTGTGTATATATATGTATATGTGTGTGCCCCCCTTAAGACTCTCCCTTATTTATTCCGTACCTGGGTACCCCCTCCTCTCAGTTTCTGTTCAACTTGTTTCGATGCTGTTGTTACTGCTATATATATAAATCAATTCCCTTTTTCCTTGTTATTGTCTTTTTTTCTTTCTTTTCTTTTTAAAAAAAGTATTCCAAAAAAAAAAACAATAGGTTGACCTAGAGTTTTTTATATTTCTATTTTCTTTTATCAAGTTTTTGTGTGAATAATATATCTATTATACGGCGTGCCGTTGTCATTTCTTCTTCTTTATATACATCTCTCTCTTTTTATATCTTTGGAACACCCGGCTTGCTGGTTTTATTAGACATTCTTTTTTATATACAACCCACCCCTTTTCACTCTCATTTCAATTAAAATGCTTTCATTAAACCCTGGTTTCAATTTCGCTACTGGTCCATTTGCTCAAGGCTTACAACCATCCATGCTACCCTTATATTCACCTGTAAATGATTTTGATCTGTTTGATAATGAAATAATGACATCTCAGGAGATGCCTTATCTCTATCAACAGCAACAACAACAACAAGTATTCGAACAAGGCTTGTCTTTGAATTCATATCCTTATCGCTTGTCGAACGAATTATATTATCAAAATCAATTTAGAGATGTAAATAACAGCATGTATAGTACAAAGCCAATCTACCACCAACATGTGAGACCAAGCTATCCAACCAGACAAGGTAAAAGAAAATGATTCAATAGATAATGTGTGTGCAGATAATTAACCAATAAAGTATAGAGATGGTAACGCCTCCTACAGTAGTTGCATCTGATGTTTCAGTCACAAGCTCACGGCTACTCTCGACTTCTCCTTATCTTTATCAACCTTATGGATCACGACGGGCCTCGATCAACACATGCCGTTCCGCCTCACCTACTGGTGAATCGAGTCCAGGCAGCAGCAGCAAACGATACGTCTGTCACTTATGCAGTAAACGATTTACAAGACCTAGTTCACTTACTACACATATTTACAGTCATACAGGAGAAGTAAGTTTTATTACTATATTGTGATTTAATTACTCATTTAATTATAGAAACCCTTCAAATGTCCTGTGGGCGAATGTGGCCGGCAATTCTCTGTGGTGAGCAATCTAAGAAGACATGCCAAGATTCATAATAACAACAATAATCGATAGCAGTTGAATGCATCATCTTTTTACTGATCTCGTTCTCCTTTTATCCTGCATTTTCTCTTCTTTTTTTTTTGCCACCACAAATTATAACCTGCCCTTTTCCCTCCTTATTCTGTAATAAAATCGTGTACACATATGTCCTCATGCTACTGGAAGAGGGAGGAGAGGCTTTGATTGCCTTTTTTCCTAAAAGTTGCCGATACCGTCTATATGTATTAAGCTTTGTTCATCTATGGTAGCATTGTGCATGTAACTTTGTTGTGAACCAAAAGGTGACACTGATCTTCTCCCCCATTCGAGGAGAAACAAAAATAGATTGTGTAAGACCAAGACGAAAATGAAGAAAAAAAAAGAAAAAAAAAAGCTTGTGGTAACGAAAAACAAGCAATACGGCATCTTTTCGTTATCATCCCGTTGAGCGTCATTGGCAGAAAATGGTCATATTGACCTGGTCTGTTACCAGACTTTTTTTTTAATTACAGATGTAATTGAATGTGAGCGTATGATTTGAGTTACCATGGAAATGAAAGAACCCTCCTCTGATAACACATATGGAATCACTTGATCCTCTTTGTGCTTTATTCAATTGAGTAAAACTATGTAAGCAAAAAGAAACCGAGTAATCAATAAAGATGTGCCATTCTATAAAAGTAAGTTATTACTACAAATGGGGCTTCCGATGGTTCATCATGACGATAAGGGCTTCAAAAGAAAGGGCACTGCCTCAGAATCTTTGCGGTTATACTGTCCGCGTGGAGCACAAGGGTCGATTCGTGCAATCCAAAGCTTCATGATTTAAACAACAGACTGCATTAATTCTCGCGACGATACTGTTTTTGTGTCGATGCGCTCTATGAGCTATTATCTCTTTATCATTATTTCGTTTAGTGCAACTTGTCGTAACGTTACATTTTTCATGATTTGTATTAAACATCCATCCACAGTGTGTCTTGTACCTTTTTTGTGTATAAAACCGGGATACATGCTGTTCAAGCATGTACTGGATTCAATGATGTGAATAGTAGAGAATACAAGTTTTTTTTTTTCTAAAGAAAAATAAGAAGGAAAAAAAATCAACATTTGATGCAAATGGTGCACATCCCATTTACATTGTTACCATTGGCAATAGCCCATTCTCACTCTCTTTTTTTTTTTTTTATATATGTCACAAACGGAAATCGTGGCTTTGTTTGTCACATAACATCAATGGATTATTAATGGCACCAAGTTTAACAAGGATGAATGAAGTTAAAAAGACAGAGAGCGAGAGATGGCAACTAGTCTCTTTGACAAAAAAAAATAATAAAGAGATTGAAATTTATCAGGAGCAAATATCATTCATATCCTCTTGCTATTGCATTGTTGATCCCCAATGAAGCCAAAAAATGAATGGCGCCTACAATAAATATCCGGTACACAATGTTTAAACATAATCATGAGTTCACAATGTCCAACGAGGGGAAACATGTTTGTCTTACGCTCATGCGAATTTACCAAGCAAAATTTCCAAGACTGGAGTAATTATGTGTTTGGGAAATATCACACCTCATTTTGTTTTAGTGTATACACTTAACCAATTAAAGAACAAGGCTTGTTTTTTTGTCAACAAGTTTCAAGAATAATAGTACTAGTCTTTTTCGCGCTCACATCTCTATCATCATCTGACGAGCATGAGGGTCGACCTTGTATCGTTGATCTGCACTGGTTCTGATACGTGTAGTTGTGATTTATCAACATTTTATGAGTTTTACATTCAAGAGCGAGCCTTGGCACACATCATTGCTTGGCACATATCACTGCTTGGCAAATCAAACGACAAAAGAGAGCGAAAAACGATTCGTCCTTGAGGAGTTTAGTTGTATAAACCAAACACGACCTTTCCGTTTCCTTGGCAATCTGCGCAGCAATCTTGCGCAGCAGTAAGAAATAAAGAATAGTCTGCACATATCTTCATTATGGATCGACTGCGGGATTCAGGGACGTCACAAGAAAAGATTGACTCATCAGTTATCATCTGTCTTTGCTTAGCTCCTCTTTTCCCTCGAATGTCAAATTATCTCACGGGTCAAATATATATGGAGAAATGGATCAAACTTTGCGAGTGCAGACAAGATGTAGTTTAATAAAAAAAAATGAAGTTTTATTCGATATATCGTGCAGGGTTATGAACAAGGTATCTTTACACGCTATTTACAAGATGAGGATGGCTGTTATTAGGAACAGTAAACCATCTCCATCCTTTATTAAACAAGTCATTCATAAGCTATAATATACAAATGTGTTCAGCATGCTTTATATCTTTTTTTTTATAGTATACCTTGAGTCTAAGGACAGTATCCTTATGAACTTTGTATCTATCTGGTATAAGCCAATCGGGTATCATATCTTCTTCTATTTCGTCTACAACGTCATTTCCTCCTACTTGTCCTTCTTGTTGTTGTTGTCTCTGAAGCAATCGTTGCTGCCGCAACTCATTATCATGTTGCATTCTTAATTCTTGCTGTGGGGTCGGATCTGTTTGCATGGTATCTAAATATGCTCTAAATTGTTCACCAGCCTCATAGACCATCATACACATCTCTTCCACCTCCACAGGCCGACCCGCAGCCAGGCAGAGCACAAGTAAATCATGAGCGTTCCCCGAAACAAGTGCCTCACGCACACATTCCTCAAAGGTCCCGTCCAGGTTAGACTCCAAGTACAGACTGGTCACTTCAAATAACTGGCCAAAGTAGCTGGCAAATCGTGTGCGTATGAATTTATTCTCATCTACCCCTTGCGAACAGTGCATACGCCAGACCCAGGTAAATGATCTTGGTAAAAAGGGAGCAAGTGGATATTTGGTACTTCTTCTTCTATATCTCTACATATAAAGTCAATCGTATGAAACAGAGCCTTGATCTTACTTACTGGATCATGCAACACTCGTATAGAGGCTGTATGTAAGTACCGCGACCGTACCTCAAGCGAGAATCGAGCATAGTCATGTTCTGCGTCTGTAGGTAAGTCATATGATAGTATGCGTTCTACTGTCAACTGCTGTAAGGTCGCCAAGAGATCGCTAAACGTGGCTTTCCGTTCAGTAATGGGTAAATCTTGGACTTGATCACAAATGAACTGAAGTGCCTGCATGGCAAATTGTGTTTTATGTTTTTGTCGTTCTGATGAGGAAAGTGATTCAAATGAAACAAGTAATGAACTGACACTGTAATGAAAAGGAAAATGGCGCTTTATGAAATGTTTTGTGTGGCGTTTCAGAGGTAATATGGATAATAAGATGGTAAGGTCTTGGTATTCCAAGTAATTGAGAATGGACCAATAAAGTTCTACAGGCAAGAGTTGAAGCATGATGTATTTTTCAAAAATAAAAATAAAAAAAGAAAAGAAAAAGAAATGATGTCCTTTTTATGCAACACCGTACGTCACCTCCCCTCTTTCTTTCTTTCTTTCTTTCTTTCTTTCTCTTTTTTTCTCCTTTTCTATTGAATGAATAGGCTTGTCGAGTTTACTGGGGAACAAAGAATATCTGATATAGTTCTTTTTTTTTTTTATTATATTGAATTTATTCAATACAATCAATAAAAATTAGACTAATAATGAAATAAAAAAAACTGTCAACTTGCATGTATAATTCTTTGTTCTATGGCTTGGTGATAACTGTCTGTCTCTGTCTCTGTCTCTGGCTCTCTCTAGAATGAGTGACTTTGATTTTTTTAAGAACAGCGATCTGATACATTGTTGCATAATAGCAGTAAATTCCCTTGTAGTAGTTGGCATGGATCAAGCGCGGTATATGATAATAACAACACAGCAAGTTGACTCATGATGCATGAAAAGATACTCTTTATTTGGGCATTCAATGTTTTTCTTTCTTCAAAAGGTGTAAAATGACGCTATGTGAACATTACCTGATAACCATCCAATCAAAGGTCAACATTACACATCTCCTGGAGCTGCACTTTACTGATAAACAAACATAAATGATTTTCCTCTTTTTTTTTTTTTTTCTCACTTCTTTTCTCGCAGACAAATACACCAATGTCATTTGTTGAAACAGTCGAATTAAAGCATCGACGCTCTCACCTTTCACTCGATAACACCATTGAATCAGCCGTCTTGAAGGATGATCCATTATGCTTGGAGAAACAAAAGATGACGGATGATTATATATCAAAAACATTAAAGGGACGGAGAAAACTACAAAAATTCTACAAGAATCAAAACGAATTGATCGATTCCATGCTTACTGCCTTGGATAAGAATACTCAACAACAAGAAGAAGAAGAGACAAAACAATTGCTCAAGGTAAGATAAAGATATGAAAAGATAGAAATGATATTTAATTCTTTGAAAGTTAAAAATTGCCATCTATGGCTCTGTTGTGGCCAACGTGCTCTTATTTGTACTTCAGCTCGTTGCTGCCGTCAGTTCGGGTTCACTTTCGATCTTTTCTACTATGGCTGATGCATTTATGGATCTCTTGAGTTCAACTGTCCTGTTGTGGGCATCGAGACAAGCCAATAAAACAAATTTGACAAAGTATCCCGCTGTAAGATATCATACGGCATGCAGCAAAAAAAGAAAACCTAACTGCTTATAGGGAAAATCACGTATGGAGTCAGTAGGCATCATCATATTCTCTTGCTTAATGTCATGTGTAGCCTTGTTTTTGATTGTAAAAGAAATCATGATAAACATTTTTGTATCTAATGTATTTCGTTTTAGATTGAGTCTGCTCAAAAGCTTGTGGAAAACGACCATTCTCCCGACTTGACTTATTTAGCCATTGGATTCGTATCGTCAGCATTAGGTACATTTTTATATAATTTATACAAAAATAGAAGCATTATACCATGTTGATATAATCTAAATTATTATAGCGGTTAAACTTTTGCTATTCATTTACTGTCAATCGTTATCTAAATTCAATTCCGCAAAGGTCTTGGCTCAGGATCATCGAAATGATTTGTTGGTTAATAGTTTAGGATTGACAACAGGTGTCGTAGGCAGCCGAGTCGCTCCATGGGTCGATCCAGTAGGCTCTATCATTATTGCGCTGATCATTTTATACAGCTGGGCATCTACATTAATAGGTAACACACACACAAAAGTCAAAATGAGCGTTACTTTTTACACTTTCTTTTAGAGCATATTCCGATGGTAGTTGGCAAAAGTGCGGATACGCAATTCTTAAACATGATTACTTATATTGGTATATATATTGTCATAGAAACCATACCCATGACAACATTTTTTTAAAAGACATCATCTTTAGCTTTGACACATCCTGGAGTAACCATGGTGGATACATGCCGAGCTTATTACGCGGGCAACAATCTATTTGTGGAAGTCGACATTGTCCTACCACCTACGATGGAGTTACGTGAATCACACGATATAGGTGAAGCATTGCAAACTAAACTAGAGTCTTTGCCTGATATCGAGAGAGCCTTTGTCCATGTGGACTATGAAACATCACATAAGCCAGAGGTAAAAAGCGAACAAAGTACCAATATAGTACACTAATTATATATATTCAGCATCAGAAATCAAAATAACCTCAAACAGTCTTGGGGAGAAGTGTGATTGACGTCGTTTTTTTTTTGTTGCCAATCCATATATGGGATAAAGGGGAAAAAGTAACTTTTTTAAATAAAAATAGTCTTTTTTCTTTCTCTTTCTCTCTCTCTCTCTCTTTTTTTTTTTTATTTCATGCCCATCATTCATGATGAATATGCAAGATTCAATTCAAAGCGACGCTTCACTTTTTGGTAATATTTATGCAGTAAAGGAAAAAAAAAATTAATATATTTATTTTGATAGATAAGCCAATATCCATTATTTTATTTCATTTATCAATGAGTCATTATATTCCATTGTTTGAACAAGCAGGAATTGATCTTGGACGGTATTTATTAATGAAGGACCCCAAAGATTTTATAAGCATTGGTATTCGCGATCCTGGTGATCTTGACATACTCATTACTTGCTCAAAGGCTCTGGCAGCACATATAGTCCATAAAAGGATGACATCTGAGGAAACAATAGTTGAAGAAGAAGAAGAGGATCTTCATAGTTGTAAATCGAGCCACACTATGAATACAAATAGTGGTGGTACGGATGACATATACATTACTTCATGTCGACCATCAATCGTTAAAAGGGCTATTGATGCATACAACCATAGTAGCTCATCTACTATCATACCCACCGTTCAGTCCAATACATCATCAGGCGCCATGATCGGAACTGTTAGATACCGACAACAGAGTACAAATAAACAAAATACCAGCAGACCACTTTCGATGCCAGTCCTTCTGCCTTCACATACGCCTCCTCCTGATTATTACTTTGATATGACATTCAGTAAGAGATTAGAGAGATGCAAGTCCATGATATTCCCTAGAGAGGAAGAAGGCAAAGAGGAGCTACCACCATATACTTGTACAGTCTATAAAATGGGTTATGTCCATATCAAAAAAGAGTTTGATGCTCCGGATGTACGAACAAAGTGGAGGGTGTGGAGGTAAATGACAACATCATGAATATCCTAGATGTATATATATATATATATATATATATTCTGATGTCTCTCTCTATAGAAAGCTCTATGTGGAACTATGGGGCACTGTACTACGAGTTTATCGTACTGCACCGCCTAAAGATAAAGTAGATTATTACTATACATTTGGACCACTTAAAGCTCCATATTACTATTATCACAAATACTACTATACGCCTATCTTGACACTCTCCCTTGCTGGTGCTGAAGCATCAAGAGCCCTGGACTATTTAAAAAGACCCAATGTACTCCGACTGACAACTCAAGAGGGACCTCAACTATTATTAAGATTATCTTCACATGTAGAAATGATATCATGGGTGGAACATCTTCAAGCGGGTAAATATATAAAAAATGAAAATTATTAAAACATTTATCCAATAAGCTTTTATTGTAGCTATCAATATATCACTTGATCTTGAGGATCGTCCTATGCCCAAGTTTATCACTTTACCCATTCGTAGCTTGACTTCAGGCACTTTGGACTCTAGGACAATTGAATTGGAAAGAGCGAGGGAACAAAGGAGGAGAGAACAAAGAGAGATACTTATCTGATTTACTATTATTATTATTGTTATATATATTTGTATAAAATAAACACGTGTGTGTATATGTGTATGTATTCCATATTAAAAATCGCAAATCTATTATAAGTTATAGGCATTTTTTTTATCATTATGTTATAGGAATGTAGCTTCTAGTCTATGTCATTGTATACATTGACCTACAGAAAAAACACTATTCTTTTAATGTGATGCGCCAGAAGAACTCATATGAGCTTATTTTCTACTTCTCTGTATACACACACATGATACTTTTTGAAAAGATCTCAGTCACACGACTTTAAATCGTACTTTACCTGTTTTGTCACAAATAGACATGTTGTGACAGGTTCACTATCTCACATTTACACCAGGTCTCAGTAGATCATTATTTACTCCAACATGACCGAGAATAACAGAGAGGTTACTTCTGTTATGGTTCATACTACCTTTTTGAATAATGTAATCGAACGAGACTAGAGGGTTTTACTCGTACACCTGTTAGGTTTGTGAATGAATAAAGTCGTCTTTTCAAAGGATATTGAATCAATAAATACTCTTTGCACTCTGTGAGCATTACCTCGCGCATAACTATATAAAGTAAAAGACACTGAATGCGTCAGGATTTGGGCTATACCACAACAACAAGAGACTTACCACTGCTCTATCCCCAGGCGTTTGTTATTTCAATTGATATCTATTGAATAGACTCCAGTATCATTCATGTCGTTGAGACAGACGGTTTTTCATAATGTACCCATTTTATATTCAATCGTCCATCCATAGCTTACCTTATATCAGCATATTCACAAGTTTACTGTCTCGTAATTCAAAGGTACAACTCCAGCATTCACCCATTTCCCTCCAATTGATATACATCATCATCTCTAATGCAACCCTTAGGGCCCTACATCACAATAACCTGATGTGATCAAAGTAACTATTCTTTTCGTTCTAATGTATACGCATGACTTTTTTTTTCATAATTTTTTTTTCTCTCTCACATGAGCATAAACTGGGTGCTTTTCCCTACTTTGTATAATGTGATCTTGTTTGTTATGCTTTCTTGTTTCTTATGTCTAGCCCGAGTGAGATCTTGATAGTTCATAATTTACCTAATCAAATATAGTAATTTACAGGTGAACACTTCGGGAAAGGAGAGGAACAAGTTTTGTTGACCTAAACAAAAAAGACTCCTTTGAACGTTGTTTTGCTTCAACTTTTGTGGTTCTTATACATCCTATCTATGTTATAAATATGGAAATGGGATGTCGCTTTTATATAACGAAGACCAAAGAATGAAAAAAAAAGAGAGACAAACTTTTACAGAACGAGTTCCGCTTTTCACTTCAGAAACACAAATGATATACCCTCGGGTATGTTCGGCAATGGTAAACAAGACAAGTAATTGACATGTACAGACAATTTCCTGTTTGTATCTCAAAATTCTTTTTCTACTTTTATCTGTATTCATTCAAGAAGCATTAGCAATGATATCTGTTCGTGTCACACTCTCAAATATATTTATATGTATGTATACATACCATAGCTCCTTTTGCTCTTGCATCAAAGATTGAATATAAAAGATGTTTATTCGATAATTGAGATGAAAAAGCATACCAGTCAAGAGAAAAGGAAAGGTAAAAAGGAAAAAGAAAGCTCATAGATCATTGTGCGTCCGTTTGGTTTGTCATAAAATAGTGGAGTATGAAGTCACTAGTATCTGTTTTTATACATGTAAAAACAAACAAAACGAATAGATTAAAGCAAGAATAAGAGAGTGAATGTTCATCAGGATGACCTTGGCTATAGATTCATACCCATATGAGTGTGCTAATACAAAAGATTATAACTTATTATTCGAGAAGGAAGGCACATGTTATCATTTTTTTTATCGAGAAAATTTTTTTCATTTTTTTAATTTGGGGGACCCTCTTGTTTTTTTATGATATTTTATAGTCAAAAGAATGACAACTTACCCTCCTTTAGAACGAATGATAAGTAGAGCCTTTGTTCTTTACGTATCTGTTCGTGTGTTTTTAGTACGAATTGCTAAAAAGACCCATATTGATCATGAATAATGATTCAAACAACTTTTAATTTCATTTTTTTTCGTTTTTATTTTTTTATAAAAAACAAGAGGAATATAAACCTAATAAGCTATTAACTGATGACGGTAGGATCCTATAGATGGTACATGCATTCTCCCTTCTATGCTCATATCCTATCCTTTTCCCTTGTTATTTAACATTTTTTTTAAAAAAAAATAGCTTTTTTCATAAGGGGGACGAGGGAGACGCGCTCAATTTTTTTTTATTTTTTTACAAAAAAAACAACAAAAAAATAAAAAATTCAAGCGGTCAGTCTGATTGGTTCATATTATAATTTTGAGAAACTGATTATAAAAAGGATGATTTTCCCTTCCCTTTTTTTTTCTCAACTCTTTTCGTTTAAGAAACTATGGCCGCTACTAAAAAGTCTACTACTACCTCTACTACTACCTCTACTACTACTTCTACCAAGAAGTCAGATCATCCTACTGTAAGTTCATTATTACTTTGGTACATGTCTATGTGAATGCGTGAGAGCTTATCTGTTTATTTTTATATGTAATATAGTATGAAGCTATGGTCAAAGGTAAAAAGGAATTATTATAGATTGAAGAAAAGTTTAGTAGCTTATTTATTTATATAGCCGCTATTCTCGCATTGAAGGAACGTAAGGGTTCTTCTAGACCCGCTATCAAAAAATACATCTTGGCCAACTTCAAGGTTTCTCCTGGTGCCCACTTTGATACCCAAGTTGCTGCTGCTATCAAGCGTGGCCATGCCAAGGGCATCTTTGAACTTCCTAAGGGTAAAGTATATTAAAATATGTGCGATGATATGTTACAGCGTAACTGATATATATATGAATTGGGTAGGTCTTTCTGGTACCGTCAAGTTAAACAAGACAGAAAAGAAGGAGGAAACAAAGAAGCCTGCAAAGAAGGAAGCTACCAAGAAAGAAACATCTCCCAAGAAGGAAGCCTCTCCCAAGAAGGAAGCCCCCAAGAAGGCTGCTGCCAAGAAGAAGGCTACTCCCGCTACTACTGCTGCTACTGCTACTACCAAGAGAACTGCTGCTGCTGCTGCAAAAAAGGCTGAAGAAGCTAAAAAGACTGAAGCCAAGAAGCCTGCCGCAAAGAAGGCCGCTGCCCCTAAGAAGGCTGCTGCTACAAAGAAGGCTGCTGCTCCCAAGAAGGCCTCTCCTTCCAAGAAGAAGTCTACTACTGAAAAGGCCAATGTCAAGGCTCCCAAGAAGAAGACTCCTGCTCCTGCTAAGAAGGCCGCTGCTGCCAAGAAGGCTGCTGCCACTAAGAAGGCCACCCCTACCAAAAAGGCAACCACTGCTTCCAAGAAGAAGGAGACCAAGGCATAAGTTGAAATCATTTTGATTGATCCCAAACCTTCCCATAATTTCACATCATATCCTCCTTTTCTCTCTATTTTTTCATTACCCCCTTTTCTCTTAAAGAATTTTCCCCTTGTAATTATAATGACTTTGGGATATTTGTTTATTTTTGTACAGTTTATTGAAAAACATAGCTTCAAACTACTTTTAATAAAAAAAAACGGCTTGAAAAAATTTAAAAAAAAAGTACGCGTTTTGAATTTTTAAAAAATTAACAAACTTTTATTGATGCATCATGATTACACTCTAGTTCATTAACGTGATCCAGTGTAGTCACCGTGACATTGTTACTGATCTCAAAGCTTTGGACATCAATGTCGTCTACACAGGAAATATATAGTAATCGTTTTGGTTCCTTGGAAGTAGCCACAGTTAGCTGCAAAGATACCACCGAAAGGTTGATCTAGGTCTACATTTGGCCAAGCCAGATGGGCCTCCATAGGGTTAATAATAATCAGGTAGCCTTGACCATTAGTAGATCATCGGGAAGGCTTCGCGCTGATGGTTCTAAGGGAGATCAAGTGATGAGTGATCGAGACTACATCATAATCCCTAATGCTGTGTGTGGATAAAACAGTCATGGTTGAAGAATCTTGATGAAAGCCGAAAAGGGTTCCGAATAACGCATCTGTTGCTGCTGATCCCAAGCAAGGGAAAGTCAGAATGGAGTCGCCGTATGGATCAAAGCTGAGGATACGACACACTGCTGAAGCTTTGCAAATTATAGCTTATGATTTGTCGAGGAACTGGAGCGCACCATTACGTGTATTTTTTGCTGTTGGACGTAATACTGACGTTGAGTGGTGAAAAATATAAAATGACGATGTCCGTCTTGATCCATAATAAAGAGGGTTATATAGAGACTCATTATGTCTATACTTCTTCTTCTTTAGTTATTTAGATTATATTACAAGGTGCAATTGCATGTTTTTGTTCACCGTATTCACAGAAAGCGGAGGTGCTAATGAAAGATTTTTTTTGTGACATTGGAACCCTTTTTTTTTTGTATTTTTTGATCTGTCACATTGTGGTACAAGAAAGGATATAAGAAAAAAATGCCCGGCTCAATATTGCAATGGACTTGATCATGATTTATGGGTTATTACCAATGAATTTAATTGTTGACTAGACATAATCATCAACAGTAAGATAATTTAAATGAATTGTACTTCCGCTAAGCTCAGTTACTAAGGTGATTCATAGATCGTTCTTTGACAGCACTTTTTGAAGACAGATCTATTCAGGTACCTGTGCCTTTCAGCAGATTTACAGGGGGGCGAGAAAGAGATTTTCTTTAACCATAACCATGTCTATATTTAGGAAAATACCATATTCTTAGTACTATAATAATGTTTTTTGTAAAAAAAAAGCGCGTTTCAAAATAAATGCAGTACTAGCCGTAATGTATATATACAAATGTGTGCCTCTTGACGGTAAAAAAGAAGGCAATGTATGTATTTGCATTTATTTTGAAAACGATATAAAGATCTCCTCTTATCTTGTCCATGTTTCCACAGATCCATCTTCTTCACCAAAAAAGGCTTTTTCAGCCATATGGCAGAATAATCCAACTTCATATACGCCTGTTAACATCTTGAGTTGAGCATATATCGTGTAAGGGTCCATAATGGGCCCAAAATGAGCATCGATGACAAAGTTGCCATTATCTGTAACTACAGGTCCAGCCTTATTGACTGCCATACGCAATGTTGCTTTGATAGGTTTGCTGCTCAGATTGTTTTCAATCACCTTTAGGACTGACTTATATGCCATAGGGACCACTTCGATTGGCACACCCTTTACCCAATTTGTACCCAATAACTTGGATTTCTTTCTATAATCTATATAAATAACATTGATTTAATAAACTTCGCTTGTTTACAAGATATCATCATTTACCTGCAACAATGACAAATTTTTTTGCTGCTTGAGCTACTAACATTTCTTGGAATTGACACGCTCCCCCACCCTTAATAGCGTTCAAACCCTTATCTACTTCGTCCGCACCATCGATCGTCACATCAATCTCTGGGTATTGTTCGAGGCTTCCCAATTGAAGACCACCTTCCAATATCAAAAGTTTACTCTGAAATGAGGTAGGGATATAGACAATATGCTTCAATTCTGGCTTTTGCAATATACGTTCAACCACATACACGACGGTTGAGCCAGAGCCGATACCGACCACCTTGTGTTCGGGTAAGATATATTCATCTACTGCAGAGTAAGCCGCCTGTCTTTTTCCTATTTCAATAGAAGAGTCTGCCATTTTAATATGATTCTACAAAAAAGGGAAAAGAAGAAAAGAATCAAAAAATGCAATAAAAAAAGATTAAAATGATGTAGGAACAAAGTCACCATGACAAACAAGCCCAGATGATCTTCACGTGATGGCCACTTTAAAATACAGTACGGCTTAGCAATGCTTCCCCTTTTTTCTCGATACATGGATTTCTTGGAGAGCTTTGTTAGTCTTTACTACTGAGATGTACTAAAGAGAGTAAAAGAAGATGAAATACTTCCTGCATATATGGTACATGGTTATAAGGATACTATATCTGTCGTGTCATCTACTAGTGAAGATAAGATACAGCTTGAAGCAATAAGTGAAATACTTTGCTTTATATAAAACAAGACCTTTAAACCAGATCATGTAAAAGTATTCAATATGAATGAAGTAAATGATTTGGACGAATGGTTGATGAAGAATACCTTTCACTTGCGAAACAAAGCTCAATAGAGTTAAAAATGGGGAAACCAAGATTACTCAACAGTATACAAATAATAAAAAAATGACCCCTACGAACAGTTTTTTTCTTTCTCTAATTGACGCACATAAAAATAAAAAGCTTATCGTTGAAAACATACAACATAGAGTATCATTTCTCTTTGTCTTTTACATTCTGCCTGCGCGTCTGAATGGTCGCTGTTTTAATTTTTCTCTCTCTCTCTCTAGAGTGCTACACACCTCGAAACTTTTTTTCTTCTTCCTTTGATACAAAAGAGCAAATATGGTAGAACGTAAATAAATAAATCATACAACAACCACAATCATAATTACTGATTTTATTTAAACTAGCAACTAAAGCATCCGGCTTATTGTCTTTGGATGGTAATTATATTATATATTTAAGGTCTAAAGTTTGACATCATCTATTTATATGTAGTATTAAGCTTAATCAATGAGTCCCGCATGACTTATGGCTTAAGACATCAAGACTATCAACGATACCGGTAATAAGATAGCTACTACATAAAGCTTGGTTCCAACATTTATTTTAGTGAATACTGTACCAATCGCGTTCGTCGTCTTCGCCAAATTTTAAAATTAAGTCAATCAAACGACAAAAAGGCTAATGTTTGCAAACCTTTACCAAAAGAGTTTCATGATAACCGCTATCTCCAACTTTATGTGTATGAAACCGAACGAGCTTGGGCTTATGCTATGGAATTAAAGCAAGAATCAACCAATAGTATGGAAACTCGTCAGAGACATCATCTTGTCAAGAGGTTAAAAAGAGCAGCTCAGCATGCTTCATTTCTTTATGGCCTTTGTGAACAACAAACTGTGGACAGTAAAACTGTTTTTGACGTCAAGGTATGTGTGGTTATCATGTGTGTGTATATATAAAACTAACGCTTGGGGAATAAGGCCTATGCTGCACTTATGAAGGGTTATCTCCTTTTTGAACAGCAACAATGGAAAGGTGCTATTGACCAATTTGTAGAAGCAAGGTAAGTTATTCAATTATGCTTGACAAAGCAAACTAAGTGTATTATATGTAGAGCTATCTATGAGTTATTTGCACAATATAATAGTAATGCTCAACAAGAGGCTTTGTACTATGCTGCTATTGACGAAATTGATCCCAACATTCGTTTCTGTGCTTATAGACTTCAGATGAGCACACATGATGCTGAAAGTGTAGCAAAGGCTCATCCTCGTACGAATGAATTGAACCAGGAACTATCAAAATTGGTTGAGGATCAAAGCGATTCATGGACAGGAAGAGTTGTCGAATGGCATGGAAGAGAGTTTACTATCAAGAACAAGGCCTTGTCAGAAGCAGTAACAAGAGCAGAAAAGGAAAATGTTTGGACAGAATCAGAAAAGATGGTGAAGAGAGCTTTGAAAGAGAATCAAGAAGCTACAGCTAAAGTGACGTCGACTAAATCAGAAAAGACAAGCAATGACCTCAAATATTTGTTTACGTTTGTCGAATACCATGTATTTGTTTCCTTGATTCGACGTAGCTTGAGTCAGCTTGATGAGAATAAGGAAAAGCATGAACAGATGATCAAACTCTATGACGATATTCTAAAGGTAAATAGAAGAATGCTCATTTATAGATGACCGCCTATAACACAAGTGATATAGAACATCGAGTGTATTTGGGAACTGCCTTTTGTTAAAGACGATATCAGTTTTGACTCGGAATTAAATACCTTGACCCTTTACTACAAGGGATGCAGATGCGTACAGATCGCTATGATATACGAAGCAGCAAACAAGATTCCAGAATCTCTTGCACTTTATCAGCGTGCACAGACGTATACAGTCCAGGCCAAACAATCACTTGTACAACTTGGTGCATTTTCAAAAGATGCACTGATCCAAGTAACTGAGCAAGACATACAGCAACTGGATCAAACGATAAGAACTGGAATCTGGAAGGCTCGTGCTGCATGGCATCTTGAACATGAGAATGAATCAATTACAGATAGAATGAATCAGCTCAACTTGAATAATGACCTTTTGATTGATCACTTGGATACATATCCAAGTCATATTCACCGTCTTGTAGAATTCCCACCTACTTTTCAACCTGTTTCGTGCAAGCCATTCTATTTTGACTTGGCAGCCAATTATATTAAATATCCTGAACAGTCTATAGAAGAGCGTACAGAAAAGACAGCCAGTGGCATATGGGGTCTTTTTGGAAAAAGATGGTAGTAAAATGATTAAAGAAATTGCAAAGACTTTCTTATGCGGCCTTTTAAATAAAAATGGGGGAAAATGGTGTACCTTTTCCCTCTTTCTCTTTTTTTTTTTCTTACGTTCCTTCCTTTCTTTTTAATATATATAATAATTAAAATGGATCATGCCGCACATGATGAATCTCTTAATTCTGCTTGGCTTCATGGATCTTTGACTGAAGAGCAACTAGCACAACTAACACCAGAACAATTAGAAAGGTAGAAAAAAAAAAACAAACAGAGATAAAGGAAGGATCAGATGCTCATATGTGTGTGTCCTTTTTTAGATATCAAAAACAACTAGAATATAACAATGAACATAAAGGTTTAGCTTCGATCATATCCTTAACTTTTGAGTTTACTAATTATATAAACATTAGGACATGAAGCTCAGCATGAGTTGATGGCCTTTATATTATTGTTTGCACTCTTTGCATCACAGTTTGTAATCTTGTATTGGAAGAAAAAGCATTACAAATCATATCAAGCTATCAGTCTAGGGGGATTATACACCTTTCCTCTACTCTTTGGTATCTATGGTGGATGGCATCGATTTATAGTGATTTGGGTTGTATTCTCTATAGTGAATGGTTATGGTAAAAGAGAGAAAAAACATCATTCTATATATAATAATAACAACAACAATACGTATAGTCATCTATAAGGCAACTAGACAACCATTAGAGGCAATGACACCAAGAATGGTATATAAATGGTATACGGTAGTTTATAATACATCCTTTGTGATTGGATTAATTGGATACATCATCATCCTCGGTGTATTTTTCGGATTTGCAGCTCTCTTTTCAGCTGGACCTGGTGTGATGCAAACAGGATTACTGATGTTGAGCTATGGCCTTTATTTTGGAGTACTAGGAAGAGATTTTGTAGAGATTTGTACGGATAGGATGGCGGCAACGATTGGATATTACTCAAAAGAGGGGTTACCTAACAAATACCTGGGAGAAGGTATTTGTGCTGTATGTGGATATGGTACTTCTGTTGCGCCTGGCATGGTTGAAAAGCCAATGTTTGAGGATGATCCTGTTCACCAGTTGACGTGTAAGCATGTATTTCATGAAAAGTGTATACGTGGATGGGTTTTGATTGGCAAAAAGGATATTTGTCCTTATTGTAAAGAAAAGGTCAATTTGAATGAATTCAAGCGTAATCCGTAAGTTGACGAGATGTGATGTGAACATTAAGCTCATTTTTTTTATTGTAGATGGGATACACAACAGCAACTTTATCTTAATTTGTTAGATGGTGTAAGATATTTAATCGTCTGGCAACCAGTAAGTTTTTAATATTTATTAATTTATATATAAAATAGATCATTCATACTTTCTTTATAGATCATCTTTGCAGCAGTTCACCTATTTTACTATTTATTTGGATTAGAATAACAACAATAAAACTGATCATTATTGTTGCATGATATTTTTGCATAAAGTGAACAAAAAAAAAAAGGACAGCAAAACAGCGCTCAATTTGTATGATTAAAACTCAAATAACCTTATTTTTTATTTATTCCGGCTTACTTTCTTCTATTTTTCTTTGTTTCTTCTGTTTTTCTTTTTCTTTTTTTCTCTTCTTCTTCTTTATGTATAACGGTCAACAAGATAAAAAGCAGGTAAAGAACACAACTGCCTTTTTACCTCCTATACAGTCAAATAATGTGGATATTGGTCAAAAGCGAACGGTACCTTGGTTACAAGAAGATAATAGAGAAACTAAAACACCAAAAATAGAAGAAAAGCATATTCAATATAGTAAAAAAAAAAAAATACTCTAAAATATATACATATATACTAAGTATTTTTTTTTTTCTTTTGTTTGACATTTCAAACAATAGCCTCATCAGGTAAAAAAAACAAGCTTTAATAATTTTTTATTTTATTTACATGCAAAATCTTAGATAAAAGGCCTTTCGTGAAACCAACCATGATTCAACACCAGCAACCACAACAGATGCAAGTATCTCAATTAACAAACCAACAGCAACCCTCCTATACAGCGATATACAATGACCAGGCCATCATTCATCAAAGAATGAATAGACCTAAACTTAAGCTTGACGATTTCAATATATCACGCACACTAGGCACTGGATCATTTGGTAGAGTTCATTTGATTCAATCCAAAGTGAATGGAAGATATTATGCGATGAAAGTGCTCAAGAAAACAGAAGTTATTCGATTAAAGCAAGTCGAACATACAAATAATGAAAAACATATACTCGAGTCAGTGGCTCATCCGTTTCTTGTCAACATGTGGGGTACCTTTCAAGACTGTCATAACCTCTATATGGTCATGGATTATGTGCCCGGTGGTGAGCTGTTTAGTGTCCTCAGGCGATCTCAGCGTTTTCCTGATCATGTGGCTAAATTTTATGCGGCTGAAGTTATTTTGGCAATTGAGTATTTACATAGAAAAGATATGATTTATCGAGATTTGAAGCCAGAGAATCTATTGTTAGATGCTCAAGGACATATTAAGATCACAGACTTTGGTTTTGCAAAGTATGTACCAGATATCACTTGGACACTATGTGGCACGCCTGATTATCTAGGTAATAGATTCACTACCTGTGTTTATATCATGTTTATTAACCCCACCTATGTATAGCACCAGAGATAATCCAATCAAAAGGTTATGGTAAAGCAGTCGACTGGTGGAGTTTAGGTGTACTCGTCTATGAAATGTTGGCAGGGTAATCATAATAATGAATCTGACATTATAGTAACTAATGCCTCGTTTCTATAGTTACCCACCTTTCTTTGACGACGATCATTTAAAACTCTACGAAAAGATCTTGGCCTGTAAGATCAAATGGCCGCAGTATTTTGATCCAAACGCCAAGGATTTATTGAAAAGATTATTAACACCCGACCTGACCAAACGATTCGGTAACTTGAAGGCAGGAACAGATGATATCAAACGCCATCCATGGTTTGCAGGAGTTGATTTCAATCGTATATTAGCACGTCAGATCAGAGCTCCTTATATTCCTCAAATTAGAGGTGAGGGTGATGCAAGTCATTTTGATAAATATCCAGAAACTCAAGAACAATACGGTGTGGTTGATCAAAATGATCCTTATAGACACTTGTTTCCTGATTTTTAACAATAAAAATTTATTTAATTGTATAGTGTATTAATTACAAATGATCTTTATTTCAATAGTATTTGTTTCCATAGACACCTTCATGAACAAAACTGGGAGCAGGTGGTCTCATAAATGGGGTATCCAATATGACTGGATTAGCCAGCGATCTATCCATCGTCACCTTGGTATTCCCCTGTATCTCTCTTGTCCACCAACCTAAGCGTAACGGTCGACCTTCCAGAGAGAATCCTTGTAGGGCAAATATGGCAGTGGTAGCATTCGCGTGTGTATCGATTCTATTGTTTTGGATTACTTCTTTAATCCTGTTATTATTATCATTATTATTTACGTTATGATTGCCGTTCTTTTCTTTATGATTATCTCGTGGTTGTGAACAATACCATGATGTTGTAATAAGGATATAATTTCATGCCCTATAATTTGGTGTTGGTACAAAAATATAATGGATCATGCTATTACTCACTTGTTGCTTGTTTTGGTAAATTTTTTATGTATATAACTGTATGATAGAATGGTGTTTGTGCAAATATGTCCTCATAAGAAATACCTGATATGGCAGAATCACTTAGAGCAGATGAAGATGACCTCCTGGATCCTATCGTGCTCTTGTCATCTTCCTCACTTTCTTCCTGTAAAGTAAGGTGCACAGGATTAGAAAAGAGGTGCTTTCCATTCATTTGATCCATCGCTTGTAGAGCGTCAATCTTTGTCGAAAACGTGACAATACCATAAAAGTGATCGTTCTCATTCATAACACAAGTATCACTAAGGGAAACATAAGGTGAGAAAAAAAAAAATTTTTTTTTTAGTATAGTTTACATTGCGCCTAGTGACTCGAAAGCTTTGAATAAATTGGATTCTGTAATACTTGAATCGAGTGGATCAACAATAATGTTTGTGTTTGCATAATTCCAGTCGATGGATATAATCTAATGAATATGCTTAATATTTAATTTTTGTGTTTCCATCAGTACGTTACTTGGTTGTGTATCGGTCTCCCGTTCATCATATAAAATGCCTGTTCGGCTGCTTTGTGATCATAAAATTCTATTAATACACACTGTAGCTAATTAAGTATTAGCATCTTGACTATCTCCTTAAACATAAGGGGTCAAAGATAAGATATTGATCTTATCTTTAATCCTCACAATTTCATTGATTGTTTAAATCTTTAAGAGTTGTACAAAGTGTGGGAAAACTTACATTTTTTAAAGTTTTTATGGATTGAATAGGAGATATGACATTCATTATTGCCTTGATGTCTTGCACAGTCACTTTGTCTGATAAGTTGCGAATGATTAATGAAGTATCCATTAAGAAAAGTAAAGAAGAAGCGGAAGAAGGGAAAGAAAGACAAGAAAAACAAAATATACAAGCTTAGTTTGTGTGTGAAACTGTCCTTTCTGGGTTCAAACATTAATTGAAAAGGGAACTATTCCAAATGTGTCGTCTGTGATATCACTATCGTATTCTCACCCTTTTAACTTTTTTATTTAGCATAAATGTCTCTCCTGAGAAACACAAATAGATAGATTTGCTACTTTTTATAATGGACAAGAACTCATCTTATTGCTTTCATTGTTCTTCATTACTTATACTTTACAAAAATGACTTTCAGGGGCTTAGTATGCTCCGTAAAGTATCGTTTAATTGGAATGGATCAACCAATCATGGTCTAAAAAATAGGGAGGATAATGCCCTTGTTAACCTTGTTTTTTTTTTATTAGTTCCAAATGTTGCATTAACAAATGCCTTCTGATATAGTGGTTGTTTGTCTGATGTGATTCTTGTATAGCTCCATACAGGCAAGTATGGACATCATTTTTATAATAGCTGATTGGTCATGAAGAGCCCATATGCTTTTTACAGGTACACCACGCTTTACTTTGTGTATCGAGGAGCACAGCCTTTTTCCCGTGCTTTTTATATTTTTAAGAGTATTTTATGAGTTCAGCACAATAATTATAATGCATAATTGTCTGCTGTCATCCTAGAGAGCGACTTTATGAACTAACAATAAACTATCAACGTAATGGGGGCCCTTCATTCTAGGGTTTCATTTCTTAGGATGCCCTATTATGCCAAACCAAAGCCCTCTTGATGGCAAAGATAGACCAAGTACCCTAGGTCTAACTAATCGTCTAGAGTGACATTTTCTGATAAATAACGCTCCAAACTAATTAACCAAATCTGAAAAACAACTGCAGCTACCTCAAGGATACCAAAGGACAATTCTTGTTATTCTTGTCCACGTAAGATTACATTGGCTTTTTTGCTTTGTAGAATTGTACCATTGAGCATCCAGCTACATTAGCATTTTAATACTATGCAAAGTATAATTGTCCTTTTGTCGAGTATGTCGTAATTCCATGCAAACTAGTAAATGACATAAACATGTCTCTATTTGCAGAAATTACATGTGTATCATCTATTGAGACCGCAAATTTTAATTTATTCCTCCTATAGAGAAACAGGTACATTGCACATGGTAATGAAAAGACCCGTCGTTCATGACGAATTACCCCGCGGGGTTCTATGATCGGAGACACGCTGCAGTGAATTGAGTAGAGTTAATTTTGATGTTAAATAGCCAATCTTTGATCCTTTCTCAAGCTTACACGTCTATTCTTTGGACTTCAGACTACAATAGACTGTACCTCCCTTTTTTGTGTGTGTGTATTATTATCTTTATTATTATGCTCTTCTGCTTTTTCTTTCTATGTGGGCTCACAAATCAAAAATTATACAGAAAACTAGAAAATGTGCGAGTTTTTATACTGTTGTCAATAAAACATAGAGCCCATCAGAATTCACAATTTTCAGTTCTATAACGCATGTGGAAAGTGTAACGTAACAATAAAATGACCTGAAGCCACTAGGAAACCAATTAAATACAGGAGGAGATTAGTAAATCATCTCAAGACTATCGCTAATCCCAAATATTCTAACAGTAATGAAGACAACAAACAACGTAAAGCCAAAGAAATTGCACATAAACGTGCCTTTCGCACACTTAAATATATATAAGAAACCGTTTTACTCGCAGTTGTCCATCACTTTAGGAAGGAAGGTTGGATGAAAGACAAAGAATTGAGAATATTCCTATCTACTCGCATCATACATCACTCTAAACAGCACTCTCAACAGATAAGATCTTCAATCAACATTCGCTGTTCATTTCATCCAAAGACACTGTTATGGATAAACAGAACCAAATAGAAGGCTTCACAGCTGATAAGTCAATGGGTGAAGTACTATAATGCTACCATTCACCATCTTCCTACCGCCTCTTGGCTGATCTGGTCTTTCTTTTTGCTGTTCTCCTCGGTGGCAGATGCAAGATACTTTAAAAGCATAGCTTACAGAGCGCTATCTACGCTTGGAAATAGATGAAAAACTTGCTAAGCGCACCTCTTAAGCACTCTCATGAATTTAATCCCATGTTTACGACGCCTTGCAAGTCAATGCACCATCCTTATATCAAATGATTACATCAGGCCCAGATGCATTGCTTATCTCAGGTTTTAACCAAAAGGTAATCGATTCGATCGAATATGCTCAATCTAACAAGGGTGCAGTGTTCTGTTCCATCCTTGATATGAATGAAATCACAAATACCTGCAGTTCATATAAATTAAAATTCTCCCACAACATACAGATTCTACCAGGGTTAAAGATCGCAAGAATTCCAGGAACTACAACAAAGAAAATTCTGACCTTCCATTGACGAAATCACTGTCATATATGCAGACGACAGTCCAAGTCCCGGATGTCGTAGGGCAACATCGAAGGATGCTTGCCATTTTACAAGCCGAAATCATTAACTCATAGCAAGAACTTAACAAAGCCCAAGCTACACTAGAAAAGCTGCAAAAATCTGACCAGAAAGCTGTCCTTGACGCCGAGATCAAGAAACTTAAAGATAGATTTAAATCTCTGCTGACGAGAGATGAACGGGAAAGCACGTGGCACGATATGAAATGCTTGAAAGAGGAACGGAACCACCATCGCATAGAGATAATTGATTGTCGGAGTATTATATTAAGCTTAAAACAGGACTTGTATCGCAAAAGAATGGCTGTTCGATATGATAAGGCGATTCAGGAACAAATGAAAAGAAATGGATAAGAAATAAGAGACGATCCAATCAAAATCAACTCTCAAGCAACTGGTGTCTTCAATGCTGTAAATTGTCTAATTAACAGCGTGAACAATTTGACTTTTTCCGGTAATGATAATGGATTGGTAAACTTGTCGAAAAGCGTGCTTTTCACTTCTCAGCGGTTCCAATTCTATATTCAACTGCACAATCGTTATCACGTCTTGCAAGAGCCTGACATTGATGTAAAAGATGAAGAAACAGCTTTCTTGAGCTTGCCATAGTCAAAAACTATCAATGTGGATGAAATTGATATAAACTGTATGCTCAGAAAGAATAGAAAGCATCTAGAGCGGTTAAAGAAAAAGACATCTCAGGGAGAAGAAGTTTCTACTTTAGAAGCCAAGTTGGAGAAAGCACCCTTCTCAGCCAGCAACAATGTTGAGGAATTTCAGCTGGAATTATCGTGTTCACGAGGATTACTCGAAAAGTTGAGAAGTTTTTATAGCAGTTCAAACAGAACCAACAGATTACGAAGCCTCAAAATCCAGAAAAAAAGGTACTTGGACAAGATAACAGCACAAGAGTGAAGGTTCTTGACCAAAGCTAATACAGGTGCTGACAAAAAGCAGTTACTTATGTTTATCGGGGATCGTGGCACTGGGGTCGAATCACGTATCAAAGGGTTTTGCAGATACGGAGGTAGATGGGAGGAGCAGCTGCACGGTAAGCATATCAATGTGTGCATTACAAATGAACATATGGCATCGCAAACATGCGTCTATTGTTATCAGAAGCTTTGTCATCCAAAAGCAATGTTGACAAAGAATAAACAAGTGTCACAAGAAATCAAGGGCGTCTTAATGTACATGAATCCAAAGTGTGTGGCTGTGAAATCCGGAAAATCAACAAAGTCCCGAGATGCACTGTCTTCGCTGACAATCAGTCTGTCTGGCTTGACTCAGTGTTTGATAGGCTCTCCTCTTCCACCATTTGCCCAATCTCAAATCAGTCAATTCAATCCTGATACATTCAACAAACTTTCATAGTCTTTCGTTCCTGCAAGAGACCACTTGACGAGTACGATGTGCTCATCCGATAGTAAGATTCATTTTTAAGCTTCATTCGATATTCTATTTTGGTCTTTCTTATAGGTCGTTCCTTGTGAAGGGTAATAGTTTTTTAAGTTTGTAATAATTATGTGACTTACATTTATTCCTGCAGATTTAGGCTTTTTGGTATCTGGCTTACCTAAGCAGTGCACAGAACCACCTCGGAAAATAGGGGATTTTTATTTTCCAAATATTCCGACATGAAATGAGCCTAATATAGCATTTAGTTTTTATAATCTGTTTTCTAACTTCTCCACTCTTTTTTTTTTTTTTTTTGTCCCTCTTTCTTATACAACATGAATTATAATAATAACAATATCATATTACCACAGCTAGTGACAGCACAAGAACATCAAGTAAAAAAGAAGCCACACGTTCATATCGCTTGCGTAAGTATATATGACCTGTAAGCTATCTTTTGATCAACTTACAGAATATTTTATTTTTAGAACAATTGCAAAAAGGCTCATTTAGCTTGTGATGGTAGATAGATTATTAAACACTACTTGCCATAAACTAATACCTATTTAAGAATCTAGACCTTGTAAAAGATGTACTGCAACAGATAAAGCAGATTCCTGTCAAAACACTGAGCATAAAAAGAGAGGTCGACCTAAACTGATAAGAGATGAAAGCAAGTCTAAGTCAAGAAGACTCAATGCTATGATACCAGAATTGGTTAATTCAGTATTTTCGACTGATAATAGCATGAAAGATGAAGATGCGCTACAAATGATGACCGTAACGTGTGCGTCTTTTCGTTATCATGTATTGAATGCTTATACATTACTAGATATTTATTACCCTTGATTTATGCTGTGCTAGAGCATCAGATGAATCTTTTGATTTTCTAGACCTCTACCCACAAGAATTAGCACACAGATCAATATATGATTTTATTCTTCCTGGTGAAGAAAGCCATGTTTCCAAAATACACAGATATTTGCTTAACAACATCGCACAGCAGCATCAACAAAAGATACCCAATAACATTCTACGATCTTCTTCTGATCTTTTTTATTCTACTCCTGCAAAGAAATTACTGGATATTGCCAATGGATCACAAACATTCAAACAAACTATCAAGTTCCGTCGTAAAGAAAAACAAGGGCAAGAGATGCAAGCAAGTTTTTATCTGGGCGGTGGGTTAGGCGCGGATCTGCTGGAATCCTCAACCTTTAGTCAATTATATATCGTTTGTATACTATCGCCTACTGCTCCTATCAAAAGATCAAGTGCTATTAATCTGTCCTCTTTGCTCTTATTAAATCATGATATTCGTCAAACCGAGTATCAACAGCAACGGGATGAAGAGGAAAGACTTTTGGATATTTTATCCTCATCGCCTTCAAATAGCTACTCATCTCCTACAAACAGTTACAATTCCTTAACTTCCCCCTCAATTAAGCAACAGCAGTTACAACAACAACAAAAGCAACAACAAAACATAGGTGAGCCTACTACTTCTATCCAGCTAGACAACAAAAAGAAACAAAGCGAACTAAGCATGTTTCAAATAAAATCCTCGACCAAGGATAGCCGTTCGTTGGCGAATAATAATAGCAAACAACCACAACAACAGCAACAGCAGCAACAGCAGCAGCAGCAGCCATTTGCACACCCTAATGAACTCTATTATTTTCAAACCACTTCCAGTAGGCTATCATCGGAGGCTATGGCACGGACAACATATCCATACTTATCAGGCACAAACCTTGTCAACACAAACATCCATTTTAGCCCATTAGCAAAGTTCAATAGTATGTCTACAACTTTTCTCAGTTGAACATCAAATAAAACGATTTGAAACGTTACATCCATCTTGTGGTTATTTACCATTTTGGTCTCAATAACTTTACTTGTTGTGCCTACTGTAGCGCTGCAGTACCTTATTACTTCAATAATGCGAGATACTCCTCTGCTAGGTTACTGACAGAATTGTCCTGTAACAATAATAAACACCGCTTCGCTCATAAAGCGCACTGTATATTCCTGAGCAAAGAAAAATATTGGTACTCTGAAGACCGCTCGAGAAGGCAACTATATGCCGCCAGGACTAACTCGGCGGATCGACTGAGAAATAATTAGACGCGATATCCCATCAGGAAGATCAGTAAAACCAAAAATTGATTTATGTTGCTTGTTGACTTGTCGTGGAGGCGTTGTATTCATTCATATTGTCTAACTCAGCTGCTAAAACTTGTATTCTTAAATGCAGCTCCATGTATAGTATTCCAGTAACTCTGCATTTTAACGACATATATGTTCTTCATTTCACCTCCAAATATTACTAAGAGCACCTTGTCTGATGTTCTGAAGGCTGTCTTTTTGAATACACGTTCTTTACTATGATATTAAATAGACGCTCTGTAAGTAAAGATGAATGTTAATATTTCTTAATGTACAAATATCACTGTGGGAAATTTTCCCCCGAAAAATTCATTGTCCAGTAAATGTGTAGTGGTAGGCCAGTAACGAAATTTCTTGTCCAGTAAATGCGCAGTGATAGTCCAGTAAAAAAAATAACCAAAATTTCACAGCCAAAAATTTTCCATAGTGCAGTAAGTATAAAGCGAATAATGCATCATTTTTTATTCATTAGTCTTCCAGTTATGCAGAGCTACAAATAATTCCGTTCATATGCGAATCGTTTCTTTATCACTATGCTTAAATATAGATAAACTATCCACCAGAGGCTCAACAACGCTCCACAGCCTATTGTATGATCCTGCGATCACTGGTTGCTGATCACTTTACCGTATTTGGTTGATTTCTTTTTTAGTCAATAGTCGGATTTTCTTTATTTGTGTCGTATTCTACGTTGAATAAGGGTCAATAAGTAGTGTCTATACATCAATAACAAAAGCTCAGTAACGCAAACTGACAAATCACAATAATAATTACAAATCCAACTAATAAATGTAGCTATCATTTTTAATAATTTTATTCTTCCAAATAAAAGAAACATAGAGTCTCATTGTACTTTCTGTCTATCACTATTACAATAACAAATGTGACACTTTGCTAACTAAAAGATATATTGTCTGAGTATCTGTCAAAGTAGCAATGACAGTTGGTTACATTGAATTTGACTACTTTTTTCATTAGCGGCTGGATTATTTAAGGTTGATTCTAGCACTTTAAACTTACTATATAGTCTTCTGTTTTGGGATAAAGTTCACATAGAGCTTACATGACTACAAAGTTTATATCTCATTACTAAAGTGTTTTTTTTTTAATGAAAGAGGCTATCAAAAACAAAGTAGCCTTTAGACCAGTATCCACAATAGTAGGAAAATGAAAGCTCAGCTGTTTGTCAATTACTTCATTTTGAAACATCCAAACAAGTTGACAAATGACTTTTTTGAACAAAACTTTTGGTATACCATTTCCAAAATCGTTCGTGCTGGTCCAGACAAGATCAAATCCATTCTAGAGGATTACCGAAACAGACGGAAGGAAAGGTCGGACGAAGAAAACTTGGACGTTGATCAACTGACAAATGCATTTGTTTTTCTATCCTCCACTACCACAAATGGTAGCTTGTTTGTAGAAGAGAATGGGTTAAAGAACTATGGACAATCTCTGTCAGCTGCCTGCGAAACTGTTGCACTCAGTTATAATAATTACTATATTGAAAATTTCGAAAATATTATATGTAATTACTTTATCTATATCCTGAAGAGAAAGTACCCGGTAAGCGACAACAAAACAAAGCAAAAAAAAGATGTCTAATGCATTCATATTAACCTACGTGTTTTAGAATGTAAGGGTTGGTTGCCTTAAAAACTTGGTGTATAACCATGTATATGATGAAGTACTCGTACGTTGTGAACCATCCTCTATACCTGATGAAATGCTTGGTCGTTTTGATTCGGATGTGGCTTCTAGTCTTTCCAGTTTTTTGAATCCCTTAATTTTAGAAATGAAGAGCCGTATGCCCATGCTTCCAGTGTCAAAAGTCAGCTTGAATAATGGACCTTTCAAAATTCTACCTGCCTTAAGGCATATTTTAGAAAAGTATGAAAATTTGCATATGGCTCAACCTTCTCCAATTGACAAAGACAATGCCAGCAAGCTCGTACCTCCCAGACTTTTTAGTTTGTTTCCGAATCCCGGGTTGGGCTGACGATTTATAAAGGTCGACGCTCAGAATCTCACAGGCATTTTCCCCGAGGCAAAACAAGAAAAGCAAATCAACGAGTCTCCATTTGATCATAACCAAAGACAATTCTTCCAAATGTTTGATTTTAAAAAGCTGGGATTTCGAAGGTATTACTGTTTGATATTTCTATATTCAAGTTATTAATGATAATCATGTAGTTGGGAAGAGCTCAAAAATATGCCCGAGCAAAGAGGAAGGATGTTTCTTAATGGAATGTACACCGATGATTATACATGTAGTGTCTTGTTCTGTAGAAAGGTGCTTCTGTCGTCAGTAGCAGATGGTGTTTCTCTAGAACTGAGTGATTTTACGACCGACGAAGTAGATACATATTTTCGTCCATGTACTGTGGGCCCAGGAAGAAAGGATGCCTTTGTCTCTTATCACGGTGGCACCGACATACGCCGTCTGTCCTCTGCTGAGTACTACAGTATGAGTGGAACTGTAAGCCGCCAGAAAGTACAACAAGGTCGTAAACAAAACTTAGGTATCGAAAGCATTAAAACAAATATACCTTCGCCAAAAACTGCATCCACTCAACGATACATGCTATATATAACTTATATATTGCAACACATGGACTCCCTATTTAACTTTTACAATTTTGAGACTACAAAGCTAAAATGGCTAAACTATATTGGGTCACAAGAGGTCATTCAAGAAAGCGTAAATATACTGTTGAATGGTGGCAAGAAATACAACAAATCACGAAGAAAAAATACAAAGAAGAACAGAAAAAAAAAGGAGAAAAGCTCGAAGACCTGCGGAACACACGCCTCATATCACACTATCAGAAAGGTATATACTCTTTTTCTATTTCTTTTTAGTACAAATTAAGCATTATTCGTATCTTACAGACGGAAGAACAAAACCCATTTTGAAGAAGGTGACCGCAAAAAAATGCCTCTTGTTATCTTTGGTGATGGTCTAAAAAATAAAGGTCATATCAAGTTTAATGGGCTTCGACGTGGCGTCTCCAACAAGATTTACAGACAGCTAAAGCGCAGAGAGGGACTTGGAGAGTTGTTACTTCTCGATATCAACGAATTCAAGACCTCCAAGGTTAGTATAACAGTGATCATAAATTATACATTCTAAACAATATCTTTATAGACCTGCAACTCTTGCTTAAGCCAAGACCTTCAGAATCTAAAATGTGGAGAAGGTGATATCAAAAAAATCCATCAAGTATTAAAGTGCAACACTTGTAATATTTTTTGGAACCATGATGTTATGGCAGCCAAGAACATGTTGACTATTTCACATTGTATTTGAAATGGTCAAGGTCGACGTAATGTCTTCAAAAGACAACTCGCCACCTCCAATGTGGTTGCCTCGTCCCACTCCGGTGGAGCGCTAGCTTAAAGATTTTACAGGTAAAAAGTGCCTGTAGAGGTTCCGGTAATAATTTAGGCTCCGAAATGCGACGAATCCCAGTGAGGGCAGAGTTAATTGTAAAACTGTCAGTAGACCAGTATTGAGTTCCTTCTCTACAATACAATATGGGTAAGAGAGAAGAGCATCCATCCATCCATCTGCAGTATAACTTAATGTGTAATAGGTATCAGCCGTGATTCTCGCCACAAGCGTAGCGCCACTGGTGCTAGACGTGCTCAATACAGAAAGAAGAGAAAGTAAGTTATTCAACAATTTAAAGAAATTAGAAAATGCAAGGGGAAGGGATGAACGATGCACAATCAAAAGACATTTTTGTTTGAAATAAGAAAAGAGTGGAGAGGAGCAAAATAATAAGAGAGAGGGGGAAACAATGGATCAACAGAATTGATATTTACAACTGTAATCATTAGGTTCGAATTGGGTCGTCAATCTGCCAACACCAAATTAGGCAGCAAGCGTATCCACTTGGTTCGTGTTCGCGGTGGTAACTACAAGCGTCGTGCTCTTCGTTTGGACAGCGGTAACTTCTCTTGGGGTTCTGAAGGTATCTCTCGCAAGACTCGTGTCTTGACTGTCGTTTACAACGCCTCCAACAACGAATTGGTCCGTACCAACACTCTTGTCAAGGGTGCTGTCATCCAAGTTGATGCCACTCCTTTCCGTCAATGGTATGAATCTCACTATGCCATTGGTCTCGGTAAGCAAAAGGCCACTGAAAATGCTGTAAGTTATGAAATGCTGTATGCACGAATATATATTCATAAGTTATTATAGGAAGCTGAAAAGAAGTCCAAGGCCGTTCAAAAGAAGATTGATGCTCGTGCTGCCACTGCTGCTATTGATCCCCTCTTGAATGATCAATTCAATGCTGGCCGTCTCTATGCAGTCATTGCTTCTCGTCCCGGTCAATCTGGTCGTTGTGATGGTTACATCCTTGAAGGCAAGGAACTCGAATTCTATATTCGTAAGATTAAGGTATGTCATAAAGCGTTTTCCATTCTTTCGTAATGCTCACTGTTTTTTTTTTATAGTCCAAGAAGCAACACTAAATTGCTATTTCTGTCCCATATTTTTGTTTACAACGAAGATAAGCTTATTAGCAGTAATAAAAAGATATCTTTCTTAAAAAAAAAAAACGTTGTCTGAATGTCTTTAAACGCCTAAAACTTAAATTGTAAATGACAAGTGTAATGCTTGTGATAAAAATGCATAATGCAATGCCTGTCTATAGCACAACATGTTGAACAGTGTGAACTGCTGTTTACTGTTACCGGGCAAAATTAAACCTCAGACCGGAATTGGGTGTACTTCTCTATATATCTTTTACTGCCCCCAAGAGGAAAAAGGGAGCAAGAGGGGAACGTGTGTGTGAGAGGAGAGAGGGACAGGAGAAGAGTATCAAAAATAAATGCTTGAAATTTCTCCTTCTTTTTTGCTTGGATATCGTCAGACACCATGGTAATAATAAGATTAAATGATGGGGAGCATACATAAAGAGATGGATGATTAAAGAAGTTGATTGATGGATGAATATATGACAACAACAACAAAAAAGTAGAAAATCTGATGCCAATTGAATTGACATTATTGTTCCATAATAAACTGTCATGCAGCAACATTAAATTGTACATCCAACTACACACTAATTATATATACATGCATAGAGTAAACAATGGAGACATTTAATCATTTCGTCTCTTGTGCTGATGCTTACCCGCCATTACTGTTAAATTATGCAGTTGCTAAACTCTTTCACTATTTTACATAGAGCGCCGAACAACAAAAGGTTACCAAGAACCCTATGCGCAACCTCAAGATCGAAAAGTTGGTTCTCAACATTTGTGTTGGTGAATCCGGTGATAGACTTACTCGTGCCGCCAAGGTGCTCGAACAATTGACTGGTCAAACTCCTGTCTACTCCAAGGCCCGTTACACTGTCCGTACTTTCTCTATTCGTCGTAACGAAAAGATTGCCGTTCACGTCACTGTTCGTGGTCCCAAGGCCGAGGAAATCCTTGAACGTGGTTTGAAGGTCAAGGAATACGAACTCAAGACTCGCAACTTCTCTGACACTGGTAACTTCGGTTTCGGTATTGATGAACACATTGATTTGGGTATCAAGTACGATCCTTCCATCGGTATCTACGGTATGGACTACTACGTTGTCATGGGCCGTCCTGGTTACCGTGTCTCTCGTCGTAAGCACTGCAAGGCCAAGGTTGGTGTCACTCACCGTATCAAGAAGGTAAGAATGATCTTTATGTGAGATGTTTGTATTCATTTTGTTTTTCTATTATAGGAAGAATCTATTGAATGGTTCAAGAACCGTTTCGATGGTGTTGTTTCCAACAAGGACTAAATTTTATTTGTGTAAAAAGAAAGAAATAAAGAAAAAGAATGAGTTGTCTGCTTCTTTTTCATTTCTTTAGCCATCTTGTTCTGAATGATGCCTCGGTTCAGGAACACATATTATTACATAAGCAGCAAATGACATAAACCCGTCTTTTTTTTATAGCTTATAGAATTCTTATCTGTAGAAAAAGATAGGCCAACTTGATTAGGATTGCAAGTCGACAAAAGATAAACAGATAAGAACTTGACATATGAGCTGTGTACAGTGCTAACAGCACCAATTTGCGCACTTACAAATATCAGCTTGCGTAAAGCCAACTGGCTGGTTCGCGTTAGCCCTACAGTCAATTGGTGTAGTATCCAGATCCAATTCGCGTCTTTAGTTGACCGATTCGCATAATAACTTTTCACGGCTTCACATAAGCATAATATTAACAATGCGAATTGGGTATTGATTTTAGTATTGAGGCGAAATCACCCTGACGTGTTTGATGAGATAATCGCTATAATATCGAGTATAATCTTACAGTAGAGCATACGCTCTACTTTAAATTCCTCTATCGCATCTGATAAGAATAACTTATAATAATAACAACTATAGTAGCTACAAGTATAACAATGATAATATAGGCATAAAAAATCACATTGACGCCAATATAAGTAGCAGCCATAGCTTCTACCTCCCTATAGAACGCACACGAGTCTTATTTTAATCATATTCAGCTCTTCTTTTTATAGGGAATGTAATTCGCAAGTTGTCGAATTAATGGCATTTTATAACAACAACTAAAGCTGAATACAACAAACAGAATATGCGCCTATAAAGTAGGAATCCGATATGACAAGAATGGAAGCAAATCAATGAAAGAGGGTTACATAAAGCTACCAAAGGTTTTAAAAGATATGCTGGACTGCTTGGTCATGAAAAAGAAGGTTCATGAAGGAGTGGAAGCCGTTGGTATTCTCCACTCTGACTTGGCAATGCAAGTAATAACAGCTGGTCGACCCCACCCATACGTAACAAGAGCATCAAGAAGAAAAGTGCTAAATATTCCTAGTAGTGTATAGAGAAGTTTGGTGCAGAAGTTTTTCCAGTTCTAGTACAAGTATGGCAAGTAAAGCAGAAGATTACCAGGATCAGAGAGCTCATCGCGACACTAGCCAATAATGAAGAAAAAGAGGATAGCAGTTGGTCTGATGATTGCTTGAAAGATAATGATGATACCCTTGTGATTCCTTTGACAGCAGGCCCTCCATAATAAAGCTGGATACCTTAAGTAAATGTCAAATAACTTTGTTTAAATAAGATTATGTGCCTTCTATATAAGAAAGACCTGCTCTATTAGCAAAGAATATAAGAAACACGAACGCCAACACCAGTCTCGGCATAGTGTATCGAAAGTGTAAATAAAAATAACGACGTTTATCAACCATAAAAGCTAGTCTTGTCTCACTCGATGGCTGCCTACAGTGCGACCTTGACATAATAAAGACAAAGAATGGCTCCTCGGCAGAGAACATATAATAGTTAACTGTAAACTCAATACTTTATTGTTTATGCCAAATATCAAAGTAGTAAGCTTGTTGTTAATGAACAAAGTTGCATCACGTGGAAAATAAAGGCATCTATGGCAATGATCGACAATTTTGAAAAATAGAGCTTTTCAGTAACACTTGCCCTCATATTTTTCCTTGGAACAGCAATTTACTATACTCACACGGGAAATTGAACATGGGAAAAATTATTTTGGTACTCTCCGCTTAGCAGATCAAGAGGAATCAAAAGAAATGGTAGTTGCTGGAGGCAAATGATCCTTTTATATCCCTTGATATACTAAGTCATAACGTTGACGAGACAAGGATGACAGATATAATAGAGTCCTCTATGGCATGACAAGCTTTTTGAATCATATTTATAGCTAGAAATAAAAGCGCGACCAGAGATCCTAGTATAGCATACATTGCTTTCTCAGTATCATGATTAGGAATGCAAAGTATAGTAGCTATCATGTGTATATAAATAGAACATCCTTGCTCAAACATAGAAAGCGTTACACTCAAGATACGCAAATTTAATTCGACTTGGAAAAAAAAACTAAAAAAAGGCCCATAGTAAATGAGGCGCAGTCTGCTACCAGCCTCAATGATGCAAGAAAAAAAAAAAAAAACTATAGTTTTTGAATAGAACACAAATGTAAATATGACTCATGATGAAGCAAGTTATTCATTTTATGTCCTACCTAAAAATGTCAACAATAAATAGTGAATAGACAGAAATAAGCCAAACCCTGAAAAAGGTAGTTTGTATGCTTGGCAAAGTGTAATTAAAATTTATATCTCTGGCTACACTGCGATTGAATAAAGAGAAAAGAAAACTTTTATCTTTTAAATAAAAAATAAATAAATAAGTATGCTTTATTATTTAAGGGAATAAAACAAAATCGTCATTCATTTCTTCAAAAGCTGAAAAGGATAAGAGGGGAGAAGCAGGCGGAGAGAAAGGGTAAAATGTGTCATCATTATCATTATTAGTTATTCTTTCAAGTTCTTGCAATATCGTTTCATCTTCCAGTAATACATTATCTTCTTTATCACAAGATTCGTCGTTATTATAAGAAGTAATAGTTGGTATTGGGCCAAATAAAGCACCTTCATCTTGATTCGTCTTTCTTTTCTTTACAACTCTTGTAATATCAGAAGATGAACGCTTAGAAGAAGATGATGAATATACTGGTGATAAAGTACTATTATCCAAAGAAGAGTCATCCGGTTGATTGTTCGTGTCATGAGTAGATTTGCGCCAGTTCTGAAAATTGGTTAATATTTCTTTTTCACTTATGGCGGCTGAAGATTGGCGACCAGGTAAAAATCCAACTTTAAACATTCTTTTGGGTATAAATGATGATGACGAAGGTGTGCTAATTGAAGATTCATACATAGTTCTTGAATGCATGGCGGGTGAGTTTTCATGGTTTGGTGAATGGGTTGTTTGGCAATAGTTTCGTTGATAGTAAGACAGGTCATTTTTATCAGTTTTTAAAGAACACAAAACGCTACTTGACTTTATAGACACTTATTATTGTTGAGGCGATCGTAATTAAAATCACCTCCGTTTGGAAAATAAACAGGCAAGTGGGGGATAAGCAACCCTTTTGTTTTAAAGAAAGAGAGAAAAGAAGAAAAAAGGGAAAAGAAAAACACAAGGGTTGAAAAATAAAAAAGTACAATCATACTATTGGCTAAGCCTATTCTAAAAACGTAGTCACTTAGCATCTGCTGATTTCTCTTTACGGATAAAATACACCGACTGTGTACACTATAAACAGGACAGAATGGAAAGAAAAAGTCACTACACATTCTTTTTATGATAGCGACACTTGCCCTTTTTACTTGATTTAATTAAGCTTAATGGTACATTAGTTTTATTATATATCATCATCATTAATGATGATTCATACCTTGTTTGCAATATATACTGGTTAGCTAGAGTTTACGCTTCTTACGCAAAAAAACGTCTTTCATAATAATAGACCCTTCCTCTTGTTCAATATGCACATAATTTCCAGAAAGTATTGTCGTCCCAAGATGTTGTATTTTGTATATTCTTTGTATTATTCGACACTCCTTTTAGAAAAAAAAAGCTGTAATTCAAACTTGCCCTGATGTCTGGGTATAATAACAGGCTTTTGGTGCTCTTGAACATGATTTAAGAGAGAATAGGATGAGATTATTCATTCTTTTTAAAAAGGTTTATTCTTTTACTGTCAACTGTATATGGAAAGATAAAGACTATCACTTGCAGATCTTTGGTAATCTTTTCATCGTTGTCAACTTCGCTGCAAAGCTTGACAAACATAGCATGCATAATTTTTAGCGTCTTCAGATTTGGCTTGATTTAATTCCTAGCTGGAAAAATAGGACTAACTAGACTGTGTTAATAAGTAGAAAGTGCTCTCTTCAAAGTAGTGGCTTGTTGTACCATATTACTCAATATATGACATAGTCAATCGCCTTAAAGACAATGCATTTTCTACAAGACTCTTTGACGCGTGTTTGATGGAATAAATCATTCTAAATAAAACTGGAAATTTATCTTTTTTGCTGTTGTTGCTGTTGCTGTTGGGACTCGCTCTTATCTACTTTTTAATTCATTTTAGACACTTTCGGTTTAGCTTAATGCAGATTAAGAGGTTATGTCTTTATTTTATGAAGAAATGGGATGATCTACTACAGGAACACTTCTTACTACAGACTTGATTTCATCTACTCTGTCTAATAGCATCTGTGCTGCCTTTACCGTCTCTTTTCTTATTTGGCGTGCATCCAAAAAATCTTGTTTGCAAGTGACCCCATCAAGATCAAACAAAATATGCATTAATTGTTCTCCAAGATAAGCTCCCATATAGACTTGTTTCTTTTTATCTTTCTCCGTCTTGCTATCATTCAGCATAAACTCCTTTATATCCTTTTCGTACTGTTGAACCTTTGGCGCAATATCGCTGTTTATCTTGGTTTTTATATTTTCTAATCTTTCAATAGCATGATCTTCTTCGCTCGACCGATTTGATTTATGCACTTGATGTTGCTTGTCTGTAGTTGCCTCTTTCTAATTAATATCTTAATATTAAACATAGTTGGTTTGTTTATTATTTACGCTATCCTTGTTTTCATGTGTATTGTGCTGACTTGTTTTTAATGTGATAGAACACCTAGAACGAACGCCATATATGCTTAGAGGCATATCATCATTATTCATAACAGCTAATTACAGTGTATTAATATACTAGAGTGTTTCATGTATATAAATAAAGTGCACTACACGCTACCTCCAAATACAAGCAACTTGATTCGGTCAGGTTCAATGCCTGTCATTTGAGAACAGTATGTCTTCAGTTCCTTTACTGTCGTCCGCTTTAAGTCATCTATACTATTAAATTCGATAGGAAATCTCTTTCCGTGCCATTTTATTTCAATAAATGCAGACATGTCACAGTGAAGGAAAAAGAAGAAAAAAAAATGATTTTATGCTTGTGTTTCAAGTAGAATATTTAACCGGAGCTTGTGTCAATTGTTACTTTCCCTTATGAAGGATGGTTCATTGTGTAAAGTACGGTCTATACCTCGATTATAATGGAGTAATAACTAAAGAGTAAATGTTGTATTATAATGCTTAAGTATGACCCAAATGATTATAATGTTGTTTGTTGTAGTAGTGTCCAACTTTAGCGAAAGAAAGATATACAAGCACATTTTACTCTCTGGATCGCTAGATTAGGCTATCATCATATCATCATAACTGAAAGGTCAATCAACACTGGTAATAACTTATCAACAAGCGCAAAGAGCGACTCAAAAAAATTAATTTTACATTTATGATTGATATCGTAGGCCAAACATTCTAAGGGCTGATGATCGAAACAAAGAAATGAGCGCACTTCTTCACAAGCTTTACCTGAGAAAAAGGTATCAGCTTTACTTTTGCTTCGTATAAAGTAATCTGGACGAAGGGAGTTAGAATTGACTGCCATTCTGTAGCATGTAAACCAGGTTTGAGGAAGGAGCGCGTGAGAGCATGTAAAATAAATAAAAAACAGTAAAACAATCCATTGTGAATTGACAATAAGAAAATATATATTTACTCTGGAAAAGTCAAAGAGGGGAGGGAAGAGACTATTTCCATTCAAAAGACAATGCAGCACTTAGAGTATCAGAATACATGGATTCCTTAATAATCTTTCTACGAATGGGATGCCCCAGTTATATAAAAGAAGCCATCGTGTGCAATAAAGTCAATATAAATTCACAGTACCTTAAAGAAGAACAGAAGCCAATAGATTTTTCAGACAGCATATTATAGACCGGAGCATAAATCTTCCAGGAAAGGGACCAAACAGAAACCCTTGTGGAACACCACGTGAGTAACAAAAATAGTATTTTTATACTTTCTTTTTTGCTCCTGCGCGCGGCTGACTGTGTTATAAATATAAACATACTTGAATATCGTAAAATGGAAAATCCTCTTACAGTGCGCTCCTAGTTGTCTGTACCAATGCTTTCCTGTGACATGCGATTGTCAAATATTACACGGCCAGGCCACATATAATAAGGGATATCATGGTCCCCCTTCATTATAACCTCGATTACTTTGGGTAAAGAAGTTCATTCTTTAGAATGGGAGCTTCAATATTTTGAATTAGTTGAAGCGAAATGACACGCCTAATGTGGTCATTAAATCATTTGATAATAAAAAACATTTGTTTAATCGTACATAAAAACAACATTTAACTGGAATAAATAATAATATTACATGAAATATCTCCTTATTTTTAGCAACATGGCTCAGTGCATTACACTGCATATGCAATAGCAGCCATACCGAGAATAGCAGTAATAACACTAGGATAGGAGAGACGTGTACCTGAACTAGTTGAGCCATTGGCATTGGCAACGCTAATGCCAGATGGAATAGGAGCTTGTGATGGAGAACTAGCAGATGGAGATGGGATTGACGTAGTCACATTAGCAGTGGTTGTTGTGTTTGAAGCCGTGGTGTTGGCTGGGATGGATCCGTCAGCTGTAGGATACACAAAATTTGTTTCCCAGTAAGGCTGAGAAATATTGAAGCATTGATTCCATGGCATCACATTAAAGACTTCCTTAACTTGGGGTAACCACTTTTCAGCCATGGACACTGTAGCGTTATTGAGTTCGTGTTGAAGGATGATATGACCGGTAGAGCTATCGCTTCCGTTCTTACGGGCTGCGATCCAGCCTTCAAAGTAGCCATCAACGGTCGCAGGAGACAAATTACCACCACCAGAACCAGGCATGTTCCAATCATCAGTATCTTCATCCCAAAGAACAGTGACCATACCCATTTGCCAGGCAATGGCACGAACACGATCGTCCACATCGCCGTAAGGGGGTCTCCAACATTTAGGGGTTACTCCTGTAACTTCCTTTATAGCGCGCAATGTCCAGTAGAATTCAGCAACCACGGCTTCGTTTTGAAGCGAGGTCATGGCAGGATGAGACCATGTATGAACACAAATTGTATGGCCATCAGCTAAAGCTCTTTGTGCTGCAGCAGGAGCTTGAATAACATTGGAGCCGATATCTTTTTTTAAGAAAAAAATGTTAAAAATAAAAACAAATGTTATTCGTAGAGTTTCAAAACTTACAAAATAAACCGGCTTTTTGATTGTGTTCTGCTAAAAAGTTGTACAGGTTAGGTTCTGCCCAACTACCAGCATCAGAAGTAAGAGGTCCATCATCATATGTCTATTTGAGATATAATTAATACAAAAATGCATCAAAAAATTAAACTACTTACCAAGCCCCATTCACCGACATTCGGACAACGGTAGTAGTCAGGAGGAATGATTGGGTTTTTAGACTTGACACAACCAGAGGCACTCCACCAACAATCAGGATCACTGTTGGAATCATATCCACTCATACTAAGATCGCCGTTGGAGTTAGCCTTACGAACAGTTGCATTGGGTACGAGGCCCCAATCGATAGAATTGATCGCAGCCTTCACTTCGGGAGAGTCAACGGGTGGTGTCTTCCACGTTGTGGGGTAACCAGTGGCATTGAAAGTGAGAGAAGGTAACGCACCTGTAGGAATGGTTGAATTGGATCCTGGATAAGCTTTAACGTTTCCTGTTAAGGGCACAACATCAGAAAGATAAGAGGGAGAGGTCTGAGCGGGAGGGGCAGATGAGGTCTTGTTGGATTGCGCATTGACAGCAGTGGCTATGAGAATAGCAGAGGATAAGATTAATGTATTATAGAATCCAGCCATTTTCCAGTTGTTTATGATGAAGAAAAAGGAAGATAAAAAGAGGAATAAAAGCTCTTTTATACAGTTTGATGAATCACTCTGCGTGTTACACCAGTGAGTTATCGTATTGCTGGTTACGCATGTAGCCAACAGTCTGTGCAACATTGCTACATTAAAAAAAGAAAATTCGCTAAAAAAGGATAATAACTGGGCTTCATGTTTTCTTGAATTGGCTTGAATTTGTTTATTTTTGGTGAATTAAATAGAGATAGAGTGTCCCTTTTTTCATTCATTTTTAGTTACTATAGTAACCCTAAATCAGGAGATACTCACTTTTTTTATTTATTTTCATGGTTATAATCTACTGAAAATGATCCTTTTTTTTGTTGTGACTGATGCTCTGACATTTCTAGATTGTCGAGGCCTCTTTATATTATGACATTCAAACAGAAAGGGTCTTCCTGCAATGAATCAGGCAATTTGCATCTTTAGAGTTTCATCTTTTAATATGGCAGCAGCCACTTTAACTGTGGATAGAAGGCGTGTGCCCTTAAAATAGATGGAAAAGGCGCAGTTACTGAACAACTGAAGTGTATTTTTAAAATGATGTACCGCGAACATCAGGCGTTATTTCTATTCCCCGGCCAAATCCCCAAGCTGTAGCTCATTGCTCAAAATGTGACAAAAAGGAGCGCCTACGACCCTTTGATCCTTATTCTATAATTTAAAAGATGTATATTTCACAAGTATGTTGATGAGTGATTACATCAAAAATGGTTTGTAAAATAATCATTATGATAATAAAGATAGTCAATTAAACTGGGCGCAGTCAGCGCTTCGTCTAATAAGTACTATTTTACTTTGTATGGGAGGCTTATCACTTTTTTACTCTATTCGTGACAAGACGTATTACAGGCTATGGTGCCATAAAACCGCTCAACAGTTTGACCATAATTCAACAAGTGCTTTTATGATGCATTAGAATTACAATAATACAGCAACATATCCCAGCAAAACAGTTCAATCGTTTACTTTTCTGAGGCTGTATTTCTCAAATTTTTTCCCGCACCTTTTGCAAAAAAAAAAAAAAAAAAGATTACCAAGTGTTTACGCGTTTTTATTTAGTTGTTTTTAGTATTTGTCTTTCTCAAATCACTTCCACCCCAGGTGGACAACCAAACGATACTAAATACAATAAATCCGATCATCATTGAGCCTGTAGCAGTGTAGTAAGGATAGGCCGCTGTTAAGAAACGAGGGTATTCGTTGTGTCTAAATGGTCTAATAGACACTTGGTCTTCGGCCAATAAGTAAGTAAGGCCAGAGCGCTTATAGTTGACCTTGAATGTAAATACGCCATAAACATCGGGGAGCTTGATGTGTGCTTCAAATCTACCAACAGCATCCTCATTTGACACCTGTTTTAGCGTAGTGCGAATATAAGGATCAAGCATGATCACTTCAAGTTGAATATCATTTGCTTTAAAAGGTACCCACTGACTGTCCTTATATTCTACAATATCAATTGTATACACCTATACATTATTATTTGTTAAAATTATGGAATATGTGTCAAATAATAACTTACAATATCATCTTTCAAACGATACCATGTACGTTGTTCCGTCTCATTTTCTTTATGATGGTAATGTCCCACAATCTTCAAAACACCTTTCTCTTGAAATGTCCATTGGGATAAATGGTTGATAAAGTCTTCATTTCCAGATTTGCCAAAGCTAGAGTAATAGTATATAAGTCATATGCCGATTCATCGCTTTATAAAACTTACGTATGATCCGAGTCGATGTTGACAGCTGAACTGATGAGTTTATCAGAGAAAAGATCAAGAGAACCTACAACTGTCACACGAGCAGAGTTACGAGCCTGTAAGGCGCCTACTAACGTTACTGGATGACTAGTGTCAGCTCTTTTCTGATAGCTCTCGGCAACAAAAGCGTCATGCTCAGCATTCAAGATTGCGATAGAAAATGGGTTATTTCCAACCGTCAGTCCAGCGCCTGAATAGAGAATAGGTGCTTCCATATGTTTCTTTTCAATAATAGATGCTGGAGCAATGACATTGGTGGTTGCTATCAGGTCATGCTCTCCAACAAATTGAGTGTGGCCAAAGACCTTTTCTGTCTCTACTTCGATATCAAACTCTGAAACCAAAGCACGAACATTATCATCAACATCAGAACTGACAGCAATGAGCATATTACCGCCCTTTTGGACATAATTGACGAGCTGAACATTGTTCAATTGAGGATGTGATGCCAAATCTGTGACAATCCATAAGAATATTAAACGTATGTTGATATAATAACAACTTACTAGACTTGGGTGCAAAATGAATAATATGAGCAAATATTTGTTCACCAAAGTAATAAAGAGATGTTGTTGGGTCATCAGCGCTTTTGAAGACTAAGTCGAAGCCTCGGCCTTATATGGCAGGGTAAAATAAGTATACATTATAAAAAATTGAAATAAATGGTTCAATTACCTTGCAATTGTTGCCAAAATTGTGTATAGTTGTCTTTATCAGACAAGGAATCCAGTAAAACTAAAACACGATGACCTGTTGTTGATGTAGCATCTGCTATAAATGCCAAACAGCTGACGACAAAAAGGATAATCAAAGAAGTAATGCTCCTCATTTGTCAAGTACACAAAGTGAAGTAAACGCGTCTAATTGATGGAGAAATTAAATGACATTAAAGGCGGAGATTTAAAACAAGGTACAGCAAATCACTGAAATCACTTGGCTTTTTGTCCTTTAGTTATTTAATTGTGTGATAAAAAAGTTTATTGTTTCTTAGTATAGCTTTATCATGTATTGGGTGGCATTACAAGAGAATGAAAGCATCTACCCAATTTACTTTCAATATACTTGTCTCTCTCATCATACATTCCTTTCTCAGTCTATTTCGGCCTTTTATGCCCTTTGTCTGCTTGATCAAAATGATGGTTAAAAATTCAATCTTTATTGTTTTTAAATTCTATAATCTTTAATAATAATAATAATAATAATAATAATAATAAATGGAAAAGCATATTACATTAAATCAAGTTGCGTTCCAAGACGCTTCACAGGATCATTCATCACTGACTTCCTTGATACTAAAGGAATGACAAAATCTGTTTCATTCTGTAAAGGAATAAATCTGTCGGGAGATAAGTCCAAGGGCGAAATAAACTCGGCTTTCTTTTCGCCTTTCATCTTATTCTTCTTTAATCCTGTTTCCTCCCTTTTATTCTTTTTGGTCATTATCTTTTTAAATTCGTAAGCAAAGGTTGTTGCTTTTGGTAACTTGTTACTAAACGTTGGGCTTGTACTGGAATGCATTGCCTTGATGTTTAGTCTTTCTTGCTCTATACCAAGTGCATCACTTTTCATTTTTCGCTCGTTATTTGGAATCGCTCTTGGTTGAATATCCACAAAGTCTCGAAGAACTCTCCCTGAACGCAAATGATGGTCACCATGAGATAGGGCAGGGATTTTGTTGTTTACTGAATCAGCAGACTTACTGTCAAGCAATTCTGGTCTGGCCATAGTCTTGTCCTGGCGCTTACTAGACAAGGATAGCTCATTATTACGGCGGGTTGATTCAGCAAGGCCGGACGTGACATCAGATTTGCAGAAATTGAGACAAACTACAGGAAGTTTATCCTCAACGCTTTTTTCGCCTTCCTCATCTAATGTCAGCTCAAACTCATCACTATATAGGATGGGTAGTTTGTCAGAATCCAGAATGTCAATAGTACCGCGATAATTGTTGTAGCTTGTGTTCAACGGCATCGAAATCAATGCTTTCTTAGGAGGGGTAATTGCAGGGTCAAGGTGCTTGATACAAAGTTCTCCATACACAATCTCCTCTAGTGTCAGGGACTCTTGTTGCTTAAATCCATCAATAAGTGCTGGAAAGACAGGTTGTGACTCCAGTTGATCATCATCATCCTTCCTTCTTCCATTTCTCGGCTTGTGTTGTAAACGGTAAATGGTAAAAATCGCAACAGTCAGCACAGCAACAGCAACGATGGCAACACCGCAAATGCCTGCAACAATTAGCTCCGTCGGCCACTGGCCCAGCTTCTGTGTTTCAGCATGGTTATCCATAAATTCATTGTTATCGACAATGGTTTGGCGCAGATCGTTGCCCAACTTGGCTATTTGCATCAAATTGCCGCAAGCAGGGATTGATGTTGGTATTGATAAAGAAGAAGAAGACGGAGAAAGAGAAGAAGACGAAGAAGACGAAAGAGAAGAATCTATTGCACCATTAGTAAAATATCCGAAAATATGAGGTTTAGCTACACTTACAAGGAAAAGCAAATGCAACATCGAAGGCAATAAATAGCAAGAATAAAAGATGAATCATTTTGAGCATTTAATAAACGAGGATGTGTGAAGAAGATGATCACTTATGAAAAAAAAAGCAAATGGTTTATATATCAAAACGGTCCTGGACTTTTGAACTTGTCCATAATTTCAAAGAATTTTTACAGCGGAAAATTTATGTCAAATGTGTCTGACAGATGTATATTTTGCATGAACCCACTGCATTTTGTAGCTAAATTGGATATGATTGTACAGTAGGACCTTAATTCTGTCATACTCTATCCTGGAATACTATTTTATGAGAAAAATTGAGACGTGGCTGTTTATTTAAGTGTTCTTTGTCGGAATATACATTCTGACATGTAATAACCTCGATTCTGGAATGCTACACCTACCCACCAAAGATTATGACAGAATCGAGGTCCTACTGTATTCATAAGCACACTTTTATGAAATGATCAATTTTATATAAAAGTGATACAATGTAGAAGAACTCCGTTAAAATGATGCAACATTTTGAAATGCTTGTTTTGGAATGCTTATCTTGGTGAACATCATTGCCACCAAATAATAATAGCTTCAAAAAGAACACTTTGAATCTTGAACGAGGCATTATCATAGTATACATTTTTTAGATACCTAGGTTCGTTATCCTTATAAGCAAGTGTATAGAAAAGATACAAATCCAAGACACACATGTCAAAAAGGATTCTTTCAGCAAAGATTATCTTTTTGTAAATTATTAAGTGCTTTTTTTTTTTGGGGCATTCTCACATGCAAAACAAAGTACATACACTACAGCTAAGAGTCATTCCTCTTTCAGCGATAGTATTACTGCTTTCTTCCTGCGCATGTCTTGAAATGCGAGCAATATACTGTATCAAGTAGATTGTAACGAGAATTGGCTATAACCCCTTTGAGAAAATACATCTTCTTTGAATTAAATGGATATACAGCTACAGACACTCAATCGTTTCTTACAGTTTATATTGTTAAATAATAAATAATTCTGGTTTTGCAAACATATGGTTTATTAATACTGAACTCTAGAGCAAACAGCATATGTTCTATTTGTACAGACCTCCCCGAGGCCCATCATTGCTTGCTAATCTGCTGCTTGTATGCAATGCTTGCGTTGGGCTTGCTTCATTTTCATTTGATTGCTGATCATTTGCCTGCCTGAAGTGCCGGTCATTCTTTAGTGTGGCCATGTTTACTACAAAGAAGCCAGCTATAACAAGGATAGCACCAAGTGCATATTCTAGTCCAGGAACAACATGCGTAAAGACAGCATCACCTGCTACAGCCAAAGGTATCTAAAACGTAGATTTTTAAATTAAAAAATTCAAATACCATATGTATACTTACTGTTAATGACACGCCTAAGGTAACAACCAAAGGAGATGTCATAAGCATAGCCAGTAACCATAAGTAGTCTGACCTAGAGTCATATGAATGTTAGTTTATGAATGCCTTGCGACAATAGACAGTTTTGAAATTACATAAAAGTTCCTACAAACGCGTTCAAGAAAATCATGATCCAAATTGATGCTGAAAAGGGTAGTTCAAACTTTTCTAGTTCAAAATAGTTTAAAATGAAGAAAAATGGCCAGAGTAATAGCAAGTTGAATATTCCAACAAATCCAAAAAATAAAGGCATATTGATCCGAGATTCATCGCCAATCTTTAGTTTCAACAAGGTAGTATAACATCCATAAAATATGGCACCGCTTAAGGCCAATAAATCACCTATCAAATGTGCACTTGGAGGCATTGGAGTATCCTCTGATCCTGACTGATCTGAGTATGTAACAATGATGACACCAATAAAACTATAGGTCAAAGACGAGTGTAAGCTTGTGACATATATACAATGTATATTCTTTTTCTAACCTTGTGCAAACTGCAAGCATCTTGATCAAACTGAACGGCTCTACCCCGACTAGTGCTCCTATGGCCAATGTACACAAGCCTATGAAACGAGGTATTTTTTTTTATTTGACCCCTCCCCCTTCTTTTTGTGTCCTTTATTCTACCTGACATGGAGGATAAAATCGTGCTACTGGTCACGCTAGTATAAGCCAAGCTAGCATTTGTTGTATAGTTTGCCATAAACCACAAAAGACAAAATGTTAAGGCCAATCTGATGGTTTCTGCTGTACTAAGTTTGGAAGGTTCATTTTCTATTTCGTACATAGTATCAGGAGCATCGTTGTCCAACTAAAAAGTAAGACTTAGTTTTCTCTTCGCTTTTTTCCTTTAGTAAAAACGATCTGCTATTTTTACATCCTCATTGCCAAGTAGTCTGATTTCAGTCTCTGCTGTTGCTGCGCTAAAGGAAGAGAATATCAGATGCTGGTGCCATTCTATGTTAACATCTTACTGTTGTGCAAATGTTGATGCTTTTGAATTATTGTTTCTTAAATTGAATAAATAGGGCAAGAGATATAAAGAAAAAGTTGCTGTATTAATATAAGTGATCATGAACGGTTTGTTGTATTTGAGATTTGCAAACATGTTCTTTATGCAATTAGATTAATACACAGACTAGCGCATGCAATGGATTCTTACATTCATAACAAATGAAGAAGACACCCAAATGAGTATGACAGCTGATAATGCCAAGGTCCCAATCTTGTACCTGTGTCTTTTCTGATCTTGAATCTCGGGCATTATTGCTTTAATATCCGTAAGTTGGATCTATGGTGTATCTCGTTGTTACAGCTTTGACTTAAAAAGAAATGACTGCGGCCATTGTTTTCTCTTTCAGGCACAGAGAAATTTAATGCTGTAATAGCAGCGGCGCGATATAATATTAAGTATATGATGCTGTGTTCAGTATAGTAGACTAACATAACAATCAAAAAGCATCGTCTTCTCTAATCTGAAGCATATATTCTTAATAAACCTACAAAACTAAATGGTCTTGGTGTGCATATATCCAATAAGATAAAATAACGTGTCAATTGCAATAAGCTTTATTAATGGTTCCTTATTCGTGTATTGCCTTTTCTTTACTGCTAGTGGTCAAGATGAACCGTAGACAGGTTGTTTCAAATGATGAGTGAAACATTTACTAAATATCTCTATACTCTATAGATTTTGTTGAAGTGTTTGAACTTATTGACTGTTGTCACAACAACATTTATGATCTGGAAGGGTTTATGTCTAACTACAAAGACGGAGAGCCCTATTGCTGCTGTTTTAAGGTATTATAGTTAAAGACGTATAATAGAATTGTTCCTATTTACATACATATATATATATACAAGTGAGAGTATGGAACCTGCTTTTAAGCGTGGGGATTTGTTGTTTCTCACATTACAAGACAGTGATCCTATAATGGTTAACAACATTTGTGTCTTTAAACTACCAGGACGAGACATTCCGATAGTACACAGAGTGATAAAAGTGCATCAAGAGTAGTACAAAAGATGATGTTGCTACATGATATTCATATATTTCATGTGTAGTGAAAGTGGAAAAGAGTTCATTTTAACCAAGGGTGATAATAACAAAGTGGATGACCGTACTTTATATTCCAAAGGCCAGATGTGGATACACAAAGAACACGTCATAGGCAAGGTGAAAGGGTAAAATAGAACGAAATGTTGTATATATGATATTGATTTATCAGCTATAGAGTTGTACCTTATGTTGGTATGGCGACCATAATAATGTCTAATACTTGGTTAAAGTATACAGCTGTTGGTACATTTGCTCTAGTTTTTTTCATATGTAATAAAGAGTAGCTTTTTTTTTTTTTTCATTTTCTTTGTTGTCATTCAATAAAAACTATCTTGGATGTGGCAGAGAGAACACAAGCAGTTCTTTACACAAAACCAAATTTATTTATACAAGGAACCAAAAATTATACATATGCATGACCTGTGTCTACTCTTGACTTAATCCAACCAATTCTTTACCCATCTTTTTATCCAAACGACAGATAGGATAGTCTTTAATCATTGCAATGTTGACCTTGTGACCAAGCAAATCACGAATGTTAGAGATACCATACTTGACCATTGTGGGACGTTCAAGACCAAGACCCCAAGCGATAACACGTACATCGGGAGGTAAACCTAAGGGAAGCAACATTTCAGGACGGAACATACCCGAGTTACCAATTTCGACCCAAGTCTTTAATCCTTCGTGATAAGAAAAGATTTCCATAGAAGGTTCGGTATAAGGATTGTAAGTGGGCTTGAAACGAATCTTGTCCATACCCATCTTTTTGAAAAAGACATCCATAAAACCAATCAAATCACCCAAGGTCAAGTTCTTATCAGCAATGACACCTTCAATCTGATGGAATTCAGCCAAGTGAGTAGCATCAACTGATTCATTACGGAATACACGATCAATAGAAAAGTATTTGGCAGGACGGAATTCGCCTGTGCGTTTGGTCTCTTCTGAGAGTTTGTGAAGCATGTATGAACTGACAGCGGTTGTGTGTGTACGCAAGATAAGCTTTTGTGCTTCTTCTTCTTTCCATGTGTAATTGTAGCCGATCGAACCTGTATCACCACCGTGTTCATGAGTCTCCTTGATCTTTTCCATCAAATCACGAGGATAGCGGTCTGAGGTGGCAGGATCTACAAAAGAATAAATATCGCATCCTTTAGAAAAAAGGCACAATACGTACCCTTTAAGAAAAAGGTATCATGGGCATCTCTTGCAGGATGCTGTTGAGGTTGGAAAAGAGCGTCAAAATTCCAGAAACTGGATTCAGCAAAGCAGTTGGTAGGCATCTCCTGGAATCCCATTTCAAAGAAAATCTCACGGAATTCTTGACGTACTTTCATCAGAGGATGAAGATGACCACCTGCAGGAGGCACACCTGCTGCATCAAAATTGTACTTTTTGAAGGTCGCGTTCTTCCATTCACCACTAGAAAAAATAATGAGTCATTCAAATCTAAAGTCCGAGAATGAGCCTTACGACTGAAGCATTTCAACGGTGATGTCTGTTGCCTCCTTCTTGATCTCTAAAGAGAACTCAGGGCCTTTTGATACACTGTATGTGGTCAGCTTTCTAAAAAGGAACAAAGTGGATCAGTTGGTGCAAGCAAACTTTGTGTCATCCTTTACTGTTTATCAATTAATGTTCTCTTCTTCAACTCTGCAAGGACTTTATCATTGCCCAAGGTTCCAGTAGATTGAATCTCTTGTAATTCTTTTTGAGTTTGATCAACAATGCTGTCAACAGCACGAATCAAGTTGTTTCCTTTCTTAGTAATCCATTTATTTTTGAAAGCTTTGCCCTGTCCGGCCTTTGCTGCGGGTCCAAACTTGGCCTAAAGCAAAAGGGTTAAACAATCGAGAAAACAAGTTGTTTGTTATTACCTGAAGCTCAGCAATGGGAAGACCTTCTTCTCCGGGAGGAATTGCCTCAAAAACACGGGCTTCATGACTTCCTTCTTTAGCAAGTTGTTGTCCTTCCTCGGTTAGGGACCAAACGATACGTTCAATGGGTGCAAAGTCAACCATCTACATGACAAATACAACAAGGTCAATGGATAAAAGAATAAACAATTCGGATAAAAAAAAAGTGTACGTTTTTGGATTTTAAACTGCTGAGAGCGCCCAACAGTACAAGCTGGTCAACAGGACTACCATTGAAAGACAAGTCCTTTGAATCTTGAATGGTGTTTTGCTGGTCAAGAGTGTTTAACACTAAGGTCTGCAATTCTTCGGTAGACATGGTGCAGGATATATAAAAGAAAGTCGGCCACTTAAAAAAATGGTTGTTTTCTTTTTCTTCAGCCACCAAAAAAAAAAAAGTTGTCAAGGTAACAGGGACATTGTCAAGGAGATTAAATCCCAGCATTGCAGCAAAAAACGAGCTATTGATCTTATTGTACACAGAGCTCAAGGGAATAGGGAATGAATAGGAAAAATACAGGGGACTGAAAAGAAACAAAGACGTAAAAGGCAAGTCATAGATGTAACAGCTATTGTTGTTGACATATAAAAGAAACACAAATAACCCGGTTGAAACACGCTTTTTTTTTTTCTTTTTTCTTTTCTTTTCTTTGATATCAGTCAACACATGATATAGGCACACATCTATTATAACACTGTATATATATTTATTTATTTTAAATGATGAGAGAATATTCCATTGATTACATAACATCAAAAGCAACAAGAGAATGTATATTATTTCCTACATATGCAAAAAGAAATCCAAAAAGTATAGTAAATCGCTGTTTTTAGACAATCATAACTAAAGCAAACCTTAGATAAAGACGAATGGATAGTAAAGGCAAAAGGTTGGGCTCTATCACATAACTGCTCCTACGCTAAACAAAAAGTGATGATGGGTAAATAAAAGACATGTATAGTTGACATATTCATATATATGTATAATATAATAGGTATTACAAAGAGTGTAGCCGGGAAAATTACTGCCGATCAATTATCTTTACAAGCTTTTGAACAAAGATTCAAGTACTTCTTGGCAACAAATCAACGACATAAAAAGTTTATCATTCAAGCCATTGGAATCATATCAAACTTACATGATGAAGAACGATTGATATTTGATCAAAACTATTTAATACCTTCCCTTATTCATCCAACCAGCAAACAAGATGATGGTATTATGTCACGGCCGAGTAATCCGATATCATCTATTCTAGATCAATTAGAAGAAAGGAAAAACATGGATCTTTTTAATGATCATCAAAGCATTCAGCTAAAGACAACTAGTTCCGGCTTTTTCTTGGGCGAGTTTTCTTTATCCCATGCTCACATTCTAAATTGGGCTCAAGCTTATAATCAATGTGACGCAAGGTTAATTCGTATCCAATCCATGTCAATAGATAATAAAAAGAAGTGCACTACAACACACGGAATAGCCAACTTGGTTGAGCCATTAGGCATTTCCATCATTTCTGATATCGATGACACCATAAAGGATACCAAGATATTGGCGGGCGCACGTACAGTTCTATCAAAGACATTCTTTGAACCTCCTCAAGGTGTGCAAGGCATGGCTGATGCCTACATGTCCTGGGTAAATACTTGTTTCATTTCTCAATGCATTTTACTCATTCTTATTCTAGTATACTCAAGGCGCCTCTTTTCATTATGTATCCAATAGCCCCTTTCAGCTAATTCCTATGCTTTATCAATTCATTCGTGATTCTCATTTTCCTCCTGGCTCAATGCACCTTCGTGATGAAGCTAGTCTTTTATCGCGACTGGTTGAAATTCCTGGTCAGGCTAAACGCGAGGCCATTCTGGAGATCATCCATGACTTTCCTCAACGACGGTTTGTGCTTGTTGGTGATTCGGGTGAAATTGATCTTGAAATATATACAAGGATTGCTGTAGAATTTCCAGATCGTATATTAAAGATATTTATTCGTGATGTGACAACACCTTTGGCACAAGAGAAAAAGAAGAAGCAGCAAAGACCAAGTCAGCTTTCGTCCATCTTTTATTCAAAACGATCATCACAATCTTTCTTTTCTTCTTCAAATAGAGCAATGACAGATGATGTCTTGTTTGTAAGACACCATCGTTCGACACCTGCCACTATAAACACCAGGAGTAGCAACAGTCCAGTAAAGGTTAGGCCGTTTGGTATGAGGAGAGCAATGACTGATGCATTTGCTCATTATACGATGGAACCCCATTTGACTGGTCATAAAAGTCAAAATGTTCAAGATGATGTATCAACAACAGAGGCATGCACACGTCTGCATGAACGCATCGAAAAGGCACGACAGCAAATACCAAATATAGATATTATTTTATTTCAAGATGCTAATGTACTACGAAACGATGAAGATATACAGAATGCTTTATGGGGCATATGGGATAATGCTAGACATAATCCTTCAAATCAATAAACTTGTTACTTTTTTTTGGCTTTAAGCTTCCTTTGTGGCCAAGGCAGTCCAAAGATTTGATAATGTCTATAGCATCGAACACATTTCGTGCTGTCTACAGATCGACTATATGTGTTTGCATCTGGACAGCAGTTAGTGGGTGGGTATACTTGAGGGATGAAATTACAGGGTGAATTGAGGTTTATGCTATTGTCTACACTTTTGTTTTCTTCTGGATATATACAGAGTGATGTATCATCTTGGTTGCAGATATGACAGATTGACATGATCTTTTTGATAGATGCATACATTACTGTCTCCTGACTTGAAGTTGATTCAGCACTATCGGATTCTCCTTGTGATAGATCAGGCGTTGCTATTCTTTTTTGTTTCTTGACATTCTTTGGAACACAACAATCTATATCAATGAATAAGAGCTTGATTTTTTTTTAAAAACAAATCCAAAGCTTACCAGAGTGGCTCACTTCTTTACGCTTCCTTGAACTTCTACGTAACCCTGTTGTCTCTTGACTTGATTCTACAGACTGTTTCTTTGAATAATAGCCTTTTTCATTTCTGTGAATAAAAAGAAAACATATTACTTTCTTTTTTCCTTCTTTTTTCTTTTCTTACTTACTTTTCACAGGTTGCGCATCGACATTCAGAGTTATTGATACCAAAGTAATGATCGCCATATTTTACTGTTAACTCTTCTCCTGGATTAATCGCTCTTACAGCTCTAAACGTCACTTCATTCCCATGTTTAACAAAGGCACAATTAGGGTTACAATCATGCTTTTTTTTTTTTTCAAATTTGTTAGCCTTCTTTTTCTTATAATAAAAAAAGACTTACATTCATAAAGCGGGCAGGCCCAAGAAATAGAAAAGCATGCTTATATCGCTGTGAGAGCATGACACTAAAGTCCCTTCCCTCTGATCTCAGCAGCTGATCTGCTTCACTTGTTAGACAACATACAGAACCAGTACAGTTCTTTATATATTCACCAGCTTGCCAATGCTTATTAGCAATGATGCATGCCTCCATTTGTCCTGTATAACGCTTGGTCGAAGAGACTTCAAAACCAGCGTCTGGTACAAACCTATATAAGAAAAAAAAAGAGAGTTAACTATAGGAATGATGTATAGCTACACATTAACTTACATTGACACGTATTTTTTCAAATGTCTTGCAAACTTGCCCTTTTCTTTTTGTTCTTTCTCTTGTAAAAAGTTTTTAAAATAAGGCAATCTAACAAGCACATCAACACATGAGCGCGTGTGTACAAATGAGTATAGTCTATTATAACTTTTTTATATATATGAGTGTGTACCTTAAAAACGCTTCAACAGCACCAGATACGTTTGTTCGTCCATAAACAAAATATTCACGCAAAATAGATATACCAGATTTTCTATCCGTGTCTGGCATATTATAGTTTACGTTGACCCTTGTCGTTGGAAACCATAGAAATAACTTGTCCAAGAAAAAGTTGGCAATAAGATCATCATAGATCGCGAAATGAAGATAGTTCATCATCTTTATCAAATGTTGTTATTCTCCTCTCTTTCTTCTTTTATAGACGGTAAATAAACAAACAAAAAAAAAGTTGTGTTGTGTATGTGTGAGTGTGTGTGTAGATAGGGGAAGAAAGGAGGAAGTCAAATTGTGGTATCGTAAAATAAAATACATGTATATATATAACGCACAAATGTTAAGATTCTGCTCTCCAATAAATTTATTTGTTGATCTATTCATCCCTTTTTTTATAACATATATATAAAGGGTATCATCGTTTATTAGTAGCATCACTTCTTCTTGATTGATCTTCATTCAGGTACTCATTTAGGATATGTTCATCAAACCCATAATGTACTCCATCACTTTTCATCCTTGGTTTTAAATGTACTGGTGCTATATATTTATACTTTTTAGATATTTATTTTATATCTAAACGGTATCCTTACCAAACCACAACCATGGATTGCTTCCCATAATCTCTATCCAATTGTTCTTCCAACCTTGATTAAACACGTTTTTACCACTCTCTGTAAACCCTTGAATCAGTCTACCATTTGTTTTTCCTGACTTTTGGTCTTTGTTCCAGCTTTGAAACTGAGAGTTTTCAATGGTTGTGCGATTGATTAGGACAAGCCAAAGATGAGACAAGGTGAAAGTACCGACGGCTACTGTAAAGATACCAGCTCTAGTGAAGGAAATGAATTATGTCATCATTGACAATATATCAAACACGCTTACATTATCAAGACAGTCAATGCTATACTATCAAAGGTAGTCTAAATAGATACATTTTCATATAAAGCTTTTCGACTTTGTAAATGATTACTTACCATCCCATGAAATTGTATGAATGCCACTAAGCTGGTAACAAATGTCCAACTAGCAAGCAAAGTGACATAAATTAAGAATTGGATATAAAATCGATGATTGTCTATGCCAACACATCCATTCACCCTATCACACTCTTTTTAAGCCTTGACGTTTTACACATGTAACATGATGTGCAGCTTACCATGGACAATGGCTAGAACGGAAATGATAGATTAAAAAAAGAGAACAAAAGAAAGGCCATATATGAACTTACTGGTCCATTCTTAAAACGCATGCATTACAGACACGACAATGATGTGCTCGATCTGGTTTCCATAGCTGGCAGCTCTCACACCATCTTGGATACCCAAGGACAGAAAAAGGTAAATCCTGAGACCGCTTTGGCTCCTCTGGTGATATACTCTGAGATGTTACAGTCTTGCTACTGCTATTATTACTAGATCCACTTGTTTTGATATCCTAACAAGCAACCACTTAATGATAAAAAAAAAAAAGGTAAAATATTGTGTACCTCAGCATATCCAGGAGGTTGTGACACTGCTCTTCCATAAGTGATTATAAACAATAAAAATAGCACATTGAATGGGACAATGTAGATGACGGCCTGACTCATGCGCTGTAGCTTCCGTAATAAGACCACTGCATACATATTAGTACAATAATCAAACGAAAAACAAGAAAGATACACTTTACATACAATTCTATCTAAATAACCATAATACACAAACGTAACCAAGCTACTTACGACTATCACCGGTAACCAACTCCAATCTCTATGCTGTCCAGGCTTTTTGTCCTTGGGTAATGGCATTGGATAATCTGTTATAGCAGAGAAAAAGAAAATAAATGGCCAACATTTAGAGTAGAGTGATGAATCAGTGTGACAGCAGCAGCAGACTTTAAAATCATCCTGATCATGGTGACCTCTATTTGATCTAGAACATAGTCTAAATGGATGTCTTCCTACTCGAAGGAACCGATCTGATAACCTCTCTAGTTTGGACATTGCAAAAGGCCAAAGAAAAAGAGAAAAAGAGAGAAAAAGTCAAGATTATATATATAAGTGAATGATATCATATAAAAGCGGCATTTTAACACACGTGCGATTATAAACTGCTGTGAACAAGCTACATTTTTTTTTGTTTACTTATTGAGATGCTGGAGTGTGGATTCTTTCGATGCCATAGATTGTATCATTGGATATAGTGAATGTATGATATTTAGAAGGGAATGTTACTATTAAACAAGATCAATATGTATGCCCTTCTTTCTTTTTCTTTTTCTTTTTACCAGTAATACGTTTAAGCTTGTCTTGTTGCATAGTTGGTGTTGTCTTGGCAAGCATGATTCCATTATTTACTAAATGGTATGCTGATTTGGTAGCCTTGTCTGTGTCTAATCTTGAAGCCATTGTTGACTATAGTCATTATTATTTATTATGCAATTTAAATAAAAAAAAAAAGAATAAACAGAATGTTATAGTTACCTGAATTACACTTCCATCCTTTAAAGAAGCGGAGAAAGAAGAAAGGTGATTAGGAACGTTGGATAATGCTTCAAACACAGGATCCGTCATCTCTACAAGTTTAAACGTAGGTAGGAGCTGCATTTCTTCGGGAACGTTAAACTGCCACCGCAACTAAGAAGTCACAACTCGATCTATTGAAGAATATTAGAAGCCATTTTTTTCAAATGTCTTTGACTTGCCCCGATTACTGGCATCATGGCCGGATGCGGTCTTGTTTATAAAGTCAGTGTTGTAGTGACTGATCTTAGCAGATAGTTCAGGAAATGTCTCCTGAAAGAGCAGTGAGCAAAGGCCAGGAAGACCAATGGCAAGGGCAGACAGGTTATCTCTGGGTTTGGCAGCTTTTTTGTTTGAGACCAGAACACAGTCAGGATTACGGCACAAAAACGATTCTTTGACCTTTGTCTTGATTTCTTTGCCTTTTATAACCTTTCGATGGATGGGATGGTCCAGCTTGGAGAAGCAGTACATGCATATTTGTGATGCCATGTTTTCATTTGTGATGCACACACTGATGTTCATGCCATGCATGCACTGCTTCCATTTTCCACCATATCTTCTATATCCCTTTAGGTTGAGCCTACCCCCATGCCTCTGTCTCCGATAAACATGATAGGACATGGCCTGCTTCTACCTTTTACTAAATAGTTTATATAATAGTTAGTATTCATCAATCGTATATTACTGTGCTCTTTACCTTTCTTCCCTATCAAAAACGTTCTTTCTTTCGCACACAAGCGTCTTCGAAAGCGGTCGTTTTGTATTTCACATGTGCTTTTCAATTTGACTCTCTTTTTGGAATTATAGAAATTTCTAAGAGCTAAACGGTTACTGACACGTTACTGGTATATATTCATTGCTTACTCAACGCTTGTTGCCATCTTTAAGTCTAACTTTGAAAGATTATTTTCAATGGCTTGTACTGCTTTGCCTTTGCTGACTTTGTTTTTTCTAGCTTTCTTCGGACATTATAATATCCTGAGCCAATATCTACTGAAGTGAATATTATGCTATATTTTTTATTCAAATGGGTAATACTAGAGACGCTGCAATAGGATACTGCAAGATTCAAAAAAGGAAATCCCACAGTTTATTTCAGGAGATCATACGAGCTTTTAATTACAGCCACGCTTCCTGTAATGAGGCAGATTAACAGATCACTGGTGCAGTAGGCCTTACAAAGCCTCATGCTTATACAGTGAAACAAATCTGATAAATAACGCCAAATTATATTTCACGGCAAAGATGGCCTTGGTTTTCATTTGGGACAGAAAACCTTTCTTGCTGAGCAACAGGGGCAGGAACACGAGGAGAAAAAGGCAGCTTGGTTACGCGGCTGACCAAAAAAATATGCTTACACATCTTCGTTTGATCAGGGCAGCTGCAGTTCTTCAGAAAGCCTTCTTTAGTATCATCTCGTAGAAGAGGATGTTTTCAGTGAAGGACCTGCACTGGTAAACACTTTCTTCGAGCTGATCTACTATAGAACAGGCTACGTGGTAGTCAATGCAGTATGCTGCTCTTCTCTTCTTTTCTTCGTTGGCTCTCAAGCGAAACCCACCAAAACCATGCACAGCTTCGATTGTGTCCTGCAAATAATCTAATACTACCACTTGGAATAACAAGTAGACTAGACAATCTACACGCAAAGAGCGAGAACGACCAAGATAGAACGTCTTCAATTGGTTATGATACGATTCTATCAGATTGTTAGTGTGGAAAGAAGCATTCTATAAATAGACAGAAAAGTTAGATTTTAGTAAACTGGAACAATAAACACCAATGGTTACCTATCTCCACGCTTTGGACCACAATTCCTTTCTTGGAAGCCACAATCTGTTGAAGTACGCAAGGAATACTTCAAATTCCTTATTTTCAGCAAGGAACAGCTGACGGGCCAGATCGAATGCTTTCGGCGTTTCTGAGTACATCATACTATTCAGATTAGCGCAAACACGATCCCTTACCAGCTTTGTGTCGTGAGTAGGCCTGCTTATCTTCACCTAAATGTTACAAGATGTTTAATATCTACATTAAACCCGCGTTTAAAACTTACGCCTCGCTTGACGTGGGTTTCCCACGCACGCTTGATATGCCAATGGCACAAGAGAGTTTGAACAAAGCCTTCAAAGGCATCTCTAATTGCAGCTGTCTCGGCAGAACTACAATCTATGATAATTCGCTTCACGCTCAAAGAGAAGTTGGTCTTTATCCAGGCTAACCACTGATGCAAAGTAGGAATGGTTTTCATATCAGTGATAAAAAAACAAACAGGTAGACCTCTGTTCGTGGTGTAGTTGTGAACGACGATAGTGAGCAGGTAGCTATCATTGGAGCTGTCCGTAATAGACCTGCATGTTTTGTGAGTGCTATCAACACAATATTCTTCAGCTTCTTCAAGAAATTTCTTCTGCCAATCAGATACCCATGAGATTAGGAAAGGACCATTTTCATGGATACGAAAAAGAGTCGAGCAGTTTTTTTCTTCTTCCAAATACTTTATTCACTTTTCACAACCATGCTTAGCGCGACAGCTTTTTCTTGATAGCTTATTCATGTGAGCATTGATGATATTCTTTACATCTTGGTAATTGATTAAAAGTGACATAGGGAAGCTACTAAATGACTCCTTCTTTTCAAGCTATAGAAGGTTAAATTATTATCGTATTTAATAACAGCGCAAGGATGAAAACAAGCATCATTACCTCAATAAGGCGTTCGTCATCAGTACGTAAATACTTTTTGATGGTTTTTCAGTCCATATTTTCGCTGACCTTTTCAGCTATCCATTGTTTGATCTCAAAGGGCAAACGAGAATTTATAATTTCCTTGATATCCTAAGGACAGTGATCAGGATGCTCCCAGTAGTATTCAACATGGATTGTGCCGTCCGTCATGACATATTTAATGATTTTGGCAGTGCAACCTATCTTGATAGAAGACTTCATAGTAATACGGGTCTTCTTAGGACGCACAACCTCTAGTTCGTTACTGCTGCTATCTTGATCATTATTTACAGAAGATACAACGTTAGTAGTATCAGTAGTACCTGTGCTATTCTTAGCTTTCTTCTTATCGACACCAGCATGATCACACAAATAGAAGGTGGTGTGAACTGGCAAAGCTTCAAGATTGGGCTTCCCGATGAACTGGAGATTGCTTGCAACGGGATACTGTCGTTTAAAGACCCGCTTAGCATGCGAGAACGCGTCCTTTTTGAACCATTCCTCGAATTTATCAGACGTAGTAATGATGGTCTGACCACTTTCCTCATAATCTGGAACAGTAGGGCAAACAAAATCAGCAGTAATAGAGATGGAAATACTTTTAAAGTTGGTAGACATCTCAGTAGATGATGTATATTTAATAACCGTGTGAGCTGCTATGGATAAAGGGTCATTAAATATTGTACGTGGCTGTTTTTCTATAGGGCGATTTAACGTTATCTGCATTTCTTAATGTCGCTTTTTCAAAATAAAGATCTAATCTGCGACTGTTTATTCCATTGAGAAAGAGAAAATTTGACATTTCTTTCACTCTTTAATGCGCAACCTTGTAGTCCTCGGTGGATCTTCTCATCCGGAATTTACCAAAAAAGTATGTGAAAGACTTGGTATTTCACCTGGCAAAACTGTCTTGGGAAAGTTTTCAAATAATGAAACAAGTGTCGAAGTAAAAGAATCCGTTCGCCAACAGGACGTTTATATTATTCAAAGTGCTTGTGGCAACGTGAACGATAGCTTTATCGAGTTGCTTCTTATGATCAATGCTTGTAAAGTGGCTTCTGCAAAAAGAATTACTGCTGTTATCCCTTACTTTCCATACTCTCGACAGCCTGATGTTCCTTTTAAACCTGCTGGGGCGCCACTTACCTTTCGACCACCCCAGACACCACAATATCAACCTAACCAACCAAATAAAGTAGACGACGTATCAAAACAGTTAATGCGTAAGCTAGGACAACAGGCAGCTATGGAACAACAAGAGGAACAAGAGAAAGAAAATGCACCCTATCGAGAGTGGCTTGCTCGTCCTGGTGTTCTAATTGCTGATTTATTGATCTGTGCAGGTATGTAAAGATTATAGTCCCACCATCCAAAGCATAAACGTGTCTATACATCATAGGCGCTGATCATGTTATTACTATGGACTTGCACGATGCCCAGGTAATAAGTTTGGCATTGATATATATTGCATCATACTAAGTTCTACCAAAGTACCCTGGTTTTTTTGATTGCCCTGTTGATAATCTCACAAGCATATTTACAACAATCAACTACATAAGACTGAGTATTCCTGATTATACTAATGCTATTATCGTTTCACCTGATGCAGGTGGAGCTAAAAGGTAATAGAGACATGATCTGATTATATCACTATGAGCCGATCAAGTTGACATTTCTATTATAATAGAGCTACTTCAATTGCAGAGAAATTGTGCATGGATTTTGCGCTAGTTCATAAAGAGCGTCCCAAGGCACATCAATCTCAAAAGAAAGAATCCATGCTTGTTGGAGATGTCCGTGGTCGCAACTGTATCTTGATTGACGATATTACTGACACATCCTACACAATTACTAAAGCAGCACGATTACTTCGAGAAAAAGGTGCTGAAAAGATCTATGCAATCGTTAGCCATGCTGTGCTATCGGCCGACGCTGTGGATCACATCAGTCAAAGTGCAATTGATGAACTCATTGTCAGTAATTCGACGCCACAGGGAGCACATATGAATAATCCAAAAATCAAAGTATTTGATGTGACACCTTTATTTTCAGAGGCTATTCGTCGTACCCATTTCGGTGAATCTTTATCAAGGCTATTTGAAGCTTAAATATTCGACTTGGCATTGACATGTAAAATGTTGGCAATATCCTCAAATAAATTATTCAATCCCCCTATATATAAAGTAGGGGTTTAGAGACTCTTTATAAAGAATGTCAACATGCGTCGAGCATTTAGGTGTTCTTTCTAAACTTTTAGGACCGTCACTTTCTTTTGGGTTAGTTGGGAAAGTGTGTATCTTGGAACCTAATTTTGTAACGCTTATCTTGACGCTTTTACCTTCACAAAAGGGAAAGATTTTGGCATTATGGTGTTCAATCAGGCAGCTCATCCAGCTATTGATTAGTTGCTGTTACCGGCCATAAACACAATGATATTTACAATGAGCTACTGCTTGAGTAAATTGTAACTTTGTGATATTCTTTAGCATATACATCCACTTACCGTCCTGCTTATATAACAAATTCCTTTCATGAAAGAGGCCGCCTTCTTCTTCACAAAACTTGCAATCGATAACGCATTTATGACTTAGCGTGTTGAAGAATATAAAAGAGACTTCATTGATTCAAATAATGCACGGTTTGTTTGTTACATAAAAAAGTAACTTGAAGTTGTAATGCATACAATTACTCTTTGGAGACCGCAGTCAGTTACTGGTTTCCCAGAATGAATATTTTTAAAGGCATTTTGTTCTATTACTAATAAAACATTATCAGAGCATTATCCAGCAAAGCACTATGTTCATGTGATACAACGTAACGTTATTTTTTATCTTTTTAAAAAATTGATAATAGGTATAAAAGAACATCGATAGACTATAATTATTCTCATTTAAAACGTTTTTACCAAGAATACAATATATTAAACTAGAATTGATAGAAGCAAGCGTTTGAATTGGATTGTTTTTTGTTGTTGTTTTTTTGCAACTGTTATATCTGTTTATTGTTACAAAGTACAGAATGTGCTTTATGGCTGATTGGATACCTGGCCAACGGAAGGAAAAGGATTATCTTTACTCAGCACAAGAAACATCTTTTCATGCGATAAATAGCCCTTCATATATCCCTACAAAATATGTCTTAGCTCTGATGGATTGCTTCATGCAAATCTCCTCTGTTACCTTGTAAATCATATTTGCCAGCATCCATTCTGCCTCTTCTATATCAACATTCATTCCTTCAAAGTCCAGCGCTTGTTTGAACTTTCCAATAGGCAACCTTGTGTTTTGACCCATAAGCAAATATCTTTATAAAATTAACTTTGGTTAACTTCTTAAGGACAAAGACATACATGACTTACACTTTTCTAAATAGCTGACGAATAGCGATATTTTCAGCCTTTTCTACAGCAAAGTAAGTACGTTGTCTGATCAAGGTTGGCTCTGACTTGCTTAAAGCCTCGTTAAATGCCTTGACATAGCCTTTTTTCATGGCTGCAGCTAAATCACTGTAAATATGTCTAGCTTCAGGGAACTGAGAAAATAAAGCTTGAGTAGGCAGCACTCCTTTCATTAGTTTAATAGGCAATAATGTTTGCAGTATAAGTCTATTTTATATAAAAAAGGAAAGGTTAGCATAATAGATCGTTCATTGTCGTTATGCTTACTCTTTGTTCTTGACGTGACGATTAGTACATTCTCTAAAAGCAAGATTTAGCTCATTCTCTGCCTTTGCATAATCCTCTTCAAGGAAATAAAGTCTTCCCAAATAATATCTAAATGTCACTCGATCACTCTTTGGAAACTGTTCGATAGGTGGCATATCTGCTGCTTTTACAGCACGAAGGATATTTTTACAAAGGTTTTGTTGTTTCAACTAAATGATGTATGATTATGACTATTATAGATTCATTTTGTAATAAATACCTTGAAATAGATTCTAAACAACATCCCAATCATTCGATATGTACCATATTTTTTAGATAAAGACATGACACCTCTATCTGTAATACAACCCGTAAAAGATTTACTAATGACATTAGCAGCCTCTTCTAATTTTCTTCGTTGTCCCTCTTCTGCTTCTTTATCTTGATCTGCCTATAATCATATTAATTCCTTGAACTTGTTCTCTTATTAAAACACATACTCTTGTTGCAATCAAACGCAAGTCGTTGTTGAATACATAAAGCACTGGTAATACCCATCGAGTAAAGTTGGGCATGTTTCTTTGAAAAGATCTTTTTAAGAAGTTAAGTAAGAGAATAAGAGAAGTGAGCTGTTTGGTATTTACTGAACAAGTTCTTTCTGTGACAAGAATGCTTCTTCATAATCTTCTTGGTCTAAATTAATTGCAGTTCGAATATGGTGTAAGGCTATATCATTCCAAGGGGATTCAAGCTGTGCTCTATTTATTAATTCTTGTAATTCCTGTGGCTAGTGACAAAATACAGTTTAATATCTAGAATTGTACCATCATCGCCACTCACTCGAAGGTTATGAAACACGAGCTGATCAACATGTTTTCCACTATAAGCAAATAAAGCTGCTAAAGGTTTTCCACGTTCTTCTTGGCTGTTCTTTTTTATTTTTTGAAGAAAAGATTCAATATAAGCTGCCTTTTGTCTATACATTTTCGCTAAGAAAAAGAGAGAAAACTCGCGTGTCCTCCCTCTGTATTCAAATAAAATGCAACCTTTTCCTTTTCCTTCAGCGGAGTCTATGAGTAGAAACAATTGTTAAAATATAAAGACCATAAAGGGCACGTGATATTTTTATTATATCGTTTTTGCCCTGGCCAGTTCAAGCTGTGAGGCAGTATCTAAAAATCCCCTGAGCTCGAGGGCAAAAATACTTTGGCTGACAGATTCGTGGAACAAGTGTTAAAAGCACTGCTATGAATAATTAAATAACCATTTAAGCAGTTTCTGCCCTGGGTCAGGAAGTGATGGTGGCTCTTTTTCGTGGTATAAGTGATCAAGCTCATGTAAGATAGTGCAGATTACTTATTTAAAAGTAGGGACAGAGGACCAGTTTTGGTTATCCTTTTTTTTGGCTATCCTTTTGGTTATCCTTTTGGTTATCCTTTTGG